ATTTTGGAAAGATACCGAACTTAAATATATTAATTCAAATACATTATGAGATGCTGTGTTTCAAACAACATTGATAAAATGTTACGAATGTTGAGGTCGCAGGATTTGCAAGGTCTTGGCTTCAGTCATTCCCGTGGTCAATTTATAGAGTTAATGTGTCAGCTTTACTGCTGATGAAGAAAGGAGAACACATATCTTTAAAACAAATAGAGAAAGTCAAAAATATTCAGCATATGCATAGTCATAACATACAAGTGCATGAAGATGTGAAAAAAACCATAATCTTTGAAATTTCAAAAATCTTCTTTGCTTATACTTAACAGTGATTGACAGATTACTTCTCTGATGTAGTAACGACATATATTTTGATCACTGAAGATTATGGTTCAACAGCATTCCAAAGAAATGTTCTCTTTTTTTGTTTGTTTTTATTTTATATTAAATCAAAATATTAATTACATTTATCTTTTTCTCTTTTAATAATTTTCAAATTAAACAATGTTGCATTCAATATCAGCTTAAAACTGAATTGGAGGCACAGAAATAAGCACAGAAATGGTGTTACAAACAAAAATATGCTGCAGCACTTCATCATCTAGACATAACAATGCATAATACATCTTGTTAATATAGAAAAGATAGCTCAGCAGCAGTATAAAAGTATAGAAATAAAATATGCTATAATATAATCAGATAATTATCATATTGTTTTGAATTGTAATTTTTAAATTGCCCTGCTGCTGTTTTGTTTACATACCAAGACAGACAAAAATAAATGACCGATTTTCCAAATGATGGAGCATTCCTTCAGGAACTCCAGGAAAGTAAATCAATGACAGACCTGTAAAGCACTGGATGGACGTCAGTATGAAGAAATTATAAATAAATTAAGTTATAAATATTAAAATAAATTAAATTATAAATAATAGAATATTGCATGACTGATTTTTTAATCTTGATAGACAGAAATAGCCAAAATTTTATCATGCCCTAAACAGTTAACAGAAAAAGGAGATTCTTCAAGGACTTAATTGTAACTGCTACATGAGAAAGATAATATTAATCTTGAAACATGATCTGTTTTTTCTGTACAGAAAACACAAAATCTTTCATCTAAGTGTGACTTCAGTTTTTACTGCATATTTATATATTTTATCTATCTGTAAATAGAAGTAAATTTAACCACTTTTTAAACTTTCAAGCATGTGCTGAAAACTCTTTTAGATCAATGGCATCCATCTTTAACTGCGTTCATTGGACCAAATGCCACACATAGAAGTAAAAACCTTTTTTTAATCAGTTATCATCCATGTAAATACAACAACAGAAAATCAAAGCCATGGCCTGTTGCAGCATACTGTGAGGCCCAGGAGCATTCAGACAAATTCACTAGGACTTTTTCTGAGGCCATTGCGTTGGCTGAGCCACCTCTCTCTGAGTTGCCCTGCTGATCCCTCCTCTGCCATGTCCAGCATAAAACCCCTACAGAACCTCTCCTTCTTTCAGTACCTGCAGAAGTGGGCAACAGTCACGCTGCTACATGTCCCACAGCTTGTCTTATTAGCCAAGATCATGTCCTCTTAGCCAAGATCATGCCTTCTTGCAGCACAGGAGAAAAGAGCCCGGACAGGATTTAGCCAATGCTAACTTTGGAGCTGGAAGCGTGCAGAGCATCTACAGACCTGGCTTAGGTGCCCCAGCCCTTGCACCCTGACCTGCCTCCTCATTGTATTTAACAGTCATTGAAGGGCCTTTACTCTGTGTGGTTTGTTTAACCACTTTTTCCCATTCTCTCCTGCAGCAATGTGTTCCACTATTCAACGGTAACTTGTTGGAAATTTGCATCTTTTTGTTTTAACCTATCCCATCTTGGTTCGTTGTGTTTTTCCCTTTCCTCAGACCATTGATTAGACCTACCCAACTCGCCATTTTCCTGCAGGGACAAGCTTCTCTGTTGTCTTTTGTGCCTTTTTCTGTTTTAATGCATTCATAAGGAGATGAAGCAACAGGAGGCACCTATGGTACTCAAGGTGCAGTGGTCACAGAAGGGCTTAACCATGTTTTCCATTTTGTTCTTCATTACTTTCTTAATTATTCCTAGCATTCGGTCTCTCATTGACAGTTAATGAATGTTGGATGTTTCTGAAGAACTATCCACAAAGACTCCTCTTCTGAGTGGTAACACTCTATGTAAATTTGTGCATGTATTATTAGATTGTTTTCCCTGTTTCACTCAGTAGCATGGAAATGAACACAGCATTTTATCAGCAGGTCACTCAGGACCTCCAGGTCTTGGCAACATCTTGTTCTCAGTTTTAATTTCACTGTTAAGTACCCCCAATAACGTCAGCAAATGCTGCTCTCCCATTATTCATCCTGTTTGCCCACTCACTCAGGAATTTCCAGGGCAGAACAGACTCCTCACTCCCGGGAAATTGAGCTGTTAACCTCCTGTTGCTATGAAAATTGATCATTGTTCCTGGCCTTTACTTTCTATCTCTTACTTGGTTATTAATCTCTTTACCCCACAAAAATGTAATTTCATTTAAGAGTACTACAACAAGGTCGAGAGCTTCGCGGAAAGCTGAGTACGGTATGTGTGGCTCTCAGGCATGATGTTTGGAAATGAACTGGTGGGTTGTATTAGCTATCGCTGAGCTCCCTGAATGTTTTTGCCAACAGCTGCTCTGGCCTGAGATGCCACCCCACGCAAATCCCCAGCAGCCTCTGCACAGGGACTCTTGCTCCTGGGCAGCTCCTCCGTCTTGCACTGCAGTGTCCTGCCACCTGCCCCCTCCAATGGCATCAGCAGCTGCTGCAGCCACAGGGGCCAAGAGACAGATGCAAGAAGCCACTGCCTGCTGCCGAGCCAGACACCCCCCGGCACAGCCGTGGCTGAGGTCTGTTTCTGTGACGGAGAGGAGGGCTGGGAGGTGAGATCCCTGTGCTCCTGGTGGGACCACACTGCTCAAGATGCTTTGCAGCAGAATGGCTTTCAGACACCACCACGTCAGACGCCGCCATCAGAGGCCTCAGTCAGCGAGAACGTCTGGTCTGTGGCATCAACACGCCACTTCCCATGCACACTTCTCTGCAGAGGAGAGTAATTTCCTTGTACTGTAGCCAGACCTTGCTACCGGCTGCTCCTACGGGGTGGTCGCAAGCCCAGCTGAGGAAGGCTAATCAAAAGCCTCACAGGCAGCAGGGCACAGCTTGCTGCCTCCTGGCACCATTGTCAAAAAGTCTTTCTGGTGGCACTGTCTTGTCCCCTCACCGATGACAGTTTGATCAGAATGACTATTTCTTCTTGCTCCCCACTCCAAGTAGCCAAAAGGTAGCAAAGGAGAAACAAGGAAATAGGGAAAAGAATAAGGCATAATAGCAGACCAAAGAGCCAGGCCAGCTACTGCTTACTGAAACCTCTGTTCTGCACAAACCAGGCCTTGATGGCATGTGGCAAGCAGCTGCCAGGAGGACTACAGAGCTTCCTGGGGTGGTTTGCAGGGAAACAGTTGGACAAGGCTTTTCTGTGCAATAGGAGAGCAGCCATTCACAGGCCCAGGCTCCTCTTTGCCAAAAAAGTGGTGTGTGCTTTTACTTGTCATGGAAGGTGTTTTCCACTCCTCTTCCCTTTCACAGAAGAGAGCAGCTTTCACACAGTGCAGGTCAGGGGGTGGACAGGAGGTAAGGCCACGACCACCGCACACTGCAGTACAGCCCTATCCATGGCTCACTGGGGCCGTATCCCTTGGGTCCATCAGCTTTGAAGCAATTTTACCAGCATTTTGCCCTGTGTAGTCCCTATTTCCTATCACGGCTCTAAACCAGAAGAGTTTTGTTACTCATCTTCAGCAAATAAAAAGCAGTCACAGAAACACACCGTTTGTTCTGCTACATCAGCTTAAACTTCTGGCTATAAAAAGCCTAGTTCTGCTTTCCTCTAGGACTTTTCTTCCCTATGGAGTAGCAGTGCGGGTGACCTGACAGCCAAGCCCGTGGCACGAGTCCCAGCGTGACAGCGTTCCCAGTGCTCCAGACAGGAGGCTCCCAAGAAAAACACTGATTGCAGAGAGACAACTATGCAACTCTACACGCCTGCCTGCGCTTAGCGAGGCTGCTGTAGTGTTCCTGTATGCCAGCTCAACATATCTGTTCCCGACAGAAAAGTTTGCTGTACCCACAGGCGTCTTACGAGCACATTTAAATCGGCCAGTTGTAGGATCCAAGTTTCAACTTCTTTTCCAAAGCGCTGCTCCTGTCACTGAGGCAATCTGCATGCCAATCGCTATCCTTGAGTTTCTATTATTCCATTTATAACTCTGTCAAGAGGTACCTTACTAAGAGCACTAGGTAATTTGCAGCTCTGGGTCAAACTAGCCATACTTTTGTTTGGTGTTTTTGAATGCTTCACCCTGCGCCACCCATCTCAAGGTCTCTGACGGTCTAATTATTAGACACGGCTAAACAGAGAGGCAGATGCAGGAGGGGTAACCTTCATTCGAGCACGCTAATAGCTCGAGCTGAGTAAGGACTACTCGGAATTTCCTCCCTCCCCCTCGCATTTTTGTGGACCCTACAAATACCCGGCGGCGGGCTTCGCCGTCTCACATTTCGCCCCGGCTGCCCATAACGGAGCTTAACGGGTGCCTCTCCCGCGGCCGTGCCCGGGCGGCAGCGGCCAGACCCGCAGGGCTGCCCCCTCGGGCACGGACCGCGAGTGGGTGCTGAGGGGCGAAGGGGCGGGCTGAAGCGGGGCGGGACGGGGGCAGGCGAGGAGCGGCGCAGCGCGGAGCGAAGCCTGTCCGGAGGCGGCGGCGGCGGCGGCGGCGTGGTGGGACCGGCGTGCCGGAGGCAGGAGCCGGGGTGACGGGCACGGGACGGGGGTGGGGGGCAGAGGAGAGCCCGCAGGGGAAGTCGCTCGGCTGGGAGGGGGTACCCGGGCGGGGCGGCTCCGGGCAGTGGCGGCGGCGGGGCAGGGCCGGGGCCGCGGCCGGGGCCATCCCAGCCCCGCCCGGCCCGGCCCAGCGCAGCCCCGGGGGGTCGAGCGGCGCCGCGCAGCCGGCCGGCTCGGTCGCGACGGGAGGGGACGGGTCGGGACGGGACGGGACGGCACGGCACGGCAGCAGAGCGCCGGGGTGACGCGGCGAGGACGCGGCAGGTAATTCGCCTCTCCACCGGGACGGCGCTGCCCGCTCCCCGCCTGCCCCCTCGCTCCCTCTCCCCGCTGCCCGGGCGGCGGCCCGGTGCCTGCCCGCCCGTCGGGGCCGCGCTGTCCCCCCCTCCTCCGCCTCCGGCGAGCGCCGGGCGAGGTGTCCGCGGGCCGCGGAGCCGCTCCGCCTGCCTTGCCGGCGGCGGCGGGGGCGGGAAAGCCCCCCCGTGCCGGCGGCTGCTGCCGGGGATCGCGCAAAGCCGTCGTGGCGAGCACCGGAGCGGCGGCGGGTTGAGTAAAAAAATCCCGAGGCTGTGCGTGGGTCACGTTTCCCGTGTGCGGCGGTCACGCCGCCGACACGTCGGGGATGTTCTTGAGTAGCCGAGACAAGATGTTTGTTACGCGCAAGAAGTTCAGAGGTCGCTGCTGTAATGCAAATCGGCGAACGGAATTCTGGAGTTTGGAGTGGAGGGAATAGGTCGGGAGCGCTGGGAGCCGGCGAGGGGGAAGAAGTAAACGTGCCTCCCTTTAAGGTGCAAGACCCAAACCAGCCGGGAGCTCTCGTGTGAGACATGCATGGGTGCTACTCGGAATTACAGAATACAAACTGATGGCTAAAATCCGGAAGCCACAAGAAATAACCATTTATTAAAGGCTTTTCTGAGGCTGCAAGCTGCCAGCACATTCATTAAAAAAAAAAAAAAAAAAAAAAAAGTATATTTAAAGTTTATTTGAGTTGTCCGAGACTTTGTTCTGCAGCAGATGTTTGTTGTCGAAACTTCATTTGCATCTAGCACAGCTTAATTTCAGAGTGGAAATGAGTACTGAAATGTGCTGCTGTTCTCAAAAGCCTTTTCTGTGCCTAAATTTAACACTACCAGGGTGTGTCTGATAGATTACATGTGTTTACTTTTCATCAGGAAAGGCTTTACAAATAAATAAAATGTACAAAAGTTTGGCTTCAGATACACATTGTCTTTCCCTTTGCCATTTTAAAAGTTGTCATTGATGGCCAGATTGTATGGCCGTCTGTGGAAGAAAAGGGAGAACTTCAATGTGTGGGGTAGCAGTGGTGGTGAAGGGGTGTCCAGTCTCAACTTTCAGTCAAGTCTGTTAATGGCTATTTGGAAAGCAGGAAAATAGGATTCCAGCTGAGTTTCAGTGAGTGTCGCAAACGCATTGTATGTTCTTGTGTAGGCAAAAGCACATAGCAGAAAGTTAAGTCCTGTTCTCACTTGTGCTTTATTCTCACTTGTTGCTTTGACTTCAGGATATCATGAAAATTGAGAGTAGTTCGGCTCGCTGTTTTGAAAGCAGAAATTTATTTCTTCCAGCTGTAAAGCACCCGGTGACTCATGAGATGGGAAAAGCCCTCAGCTCCCCGTGGGACTCTTACCAAAGGGCCCGCTGGCAGCAGGGAGCAGAGGTGTGCTGGGGATGCTTGCTGAAGGGCTTTGGCATCCCCTTTATCACAAGTTCTCTGTTGCCTCCTGGCACTGGGAATTGCACATTCCCAGAGGAAAATTACAGGTTAACTCCAGCTGCCTCACCCTGGGAATTATCTGTGGAGAGCTGGTGAGAGGTGTGGCCCTGAGACTCTGCCTGTACCACTGTATGGTGGGACTGGAGAGGGCAGTGGAGTTGTACCTTGCCACAGGGCAGGTTGAGGGGCTGTGGCCCACCACACAGCATTGCCCTTCTTGTGTCACATATGGCACAGGGACCACCAGACCCTGGTAGACCCTAGAGGTGTGAGCCATGGTGGAGAGCCCCTGCTCCAACCTGGAAGGGTGCTTGACCCTGCTAGGATGCTTGACCTCTGCAGGAGACCACACTAACCTCTGTGGAAACCCCAAAGCATGGTGGTGGCCAGGGAGATTACAGGAAGGGGGAAACGTGCTCGCTGCTAGCCCCGACTGCTCCCTCCGTCCTTGTAGCAGGGAAGACAAAGGTCAGCCAAATAGCAGGAGGAGGCAACTGAATTGTCCTCCGCGTGACTGCCGTTCTTGACATCGTACCACTGCCTTTATCTGAGTAATTTAGCAAATGCTGTTTTGGCCATCACATCTGTAAGGAAGCATAGCCAGATTGGCCCTGCACTGCCGGTAGGTCTAGCTTTCTAGTGGTACCTGGTGGTGCAGTGATAGGGATCATCTGGTTTGTTTTAGAGGGCATAAAACTGGTTTCCATTGGTATCAAGAGCTCGGGGTACGGAGGTACCTAGCCAAGGCAATGCCCAACACACAGTGTGCCACAGACAGGCTCTACAGGTTGGGGGGGTTTTTTAATATTTTGATCTGAGGTCCATTCTTTGCAGATAGTGGCTAGCTTTCTGTTTGTGGCTGGGACAAAGATGTTTTGAGGGGTAAGTTGTAGAGCTGTGAGGATGCAGTGACACAGATGTCCTGGACCTGGCTGCTGCTGTCTTGTTACTAGAATATGCAACAAACTTTAGGTTTTCTAACTGGTAAAAAAAATCATGGTTTTTCTGAGCTACTGCTTACAAAGCAGGAGGAAAACAAAAAGGTAGTATGGCTGAAGGATACTACCTGGAAATGTTGTTACTAGAAGAGAATAAGTTTTGATTTATTACATTATTATTTGTATTAACTTTCAAGTGGCCTTCATTCCCTGAGAGTCCTGACAAATAATAATGTTACAGCCCTTGCCACTAGCCTGTCAGAGCCAAAGATTTACTTTTGTGATACTACGTTTGATGTAGTAATTTTAAGAAGTAATTGTGAACAATGGAAGAGACCCTGTATGATTTCTGCTGATTGCATGCATCGTCCATGCCTCCAGCCAGAGGAACTGGTATAGCACCATTACCCTCAGTAGAGTCATGACAGTTTACAGCTGCTGAGTTGTGGCTGATAAAGTCTCAAGTCTGGCATATAACTATCTTCACAGACAGAAATACAGTTGCTCTTTCATAGACCAGTATGATAACTCTGCTTGGAAAAAAACTTTGAGACACATTTATTTTGTTGCATGTGGTGCTCTTAAATGATACGAATATGATTCTCTCAGGCAGCCATCAGACAGTCCGGTGAGTATTGCTAGTTGAGCTGTCATTAACAAACACTTTTCTAGTCAAATGTAATTGTTTATTTTACAGTGGAAAGCACTTGCAATTCATATGGATACAGTGGCATTTTGTTATAAGCCAATACAATGAAAGACTGTGATAGTTTATGTGATAACAGTGTGCAGATTGTAACTGAAGTACAATTAGATTGAACCTTAGCTGAGGTGAAGTTGTTCTGTTGAAGAGCTTCACTGTTACCATGCTTCAGAAAAGAGGTCAACAACTCGAGGGCCCAAGTTTCCTGCAAAATGAATGAGGTGGTTGCTGTCATCTTCAGAGTAAAAAAGACCGAGGACACCAAGCAAAAACTGTGGTTCTTGGATAATTTGTCTCTCCCAGCAGGTCTCTTCACCAGAGTAGTTTGGACCTATGAACTAGAATGGGGAAATAGCAATAGTAATCATGGGTAAATAGTAAACTATTTTCTCAGAAAATAATTTTAAAATACCCAAATGTACTAAAGAATACAAGTTAATTCACTGTAGGCTTTGGTCAGATTACTTCTTTTCTGAAGGAGGGAACCCAGGAGAAGGAAGGGTGTGGGTCATTCGTTAAACCCTTTACATTCATCTGGGATGTGGTTTGCTCCTCCCCTCTTCCAGAAGGGACTTGAAAATGCATCTGCCACTTTTCAGGTGCCCAAAATAAAGTGCTTGAGCAGCAGTGGCTCACATGTTTTTGTGGTCTCAAAAAACTTGTATATAGAATCATATAATGGTTTGGGTTGGAAGGAACCTTAACATTCATCTAGTTCCATCCCCCCTTCCCTTGATACCTATCCTTTGGAAGTGTCTTTCATGTGTTTGGGAAATGCTCGTGACCCTGAGTAAATAAATTGTAAGGTCAGGAGCTTCAGCTCTTCAGGAGGTCCCTAAACCAAGCTACTTAATTTTGGGCCAACGAAAAGTGGCCTCCCATCCAGCACAACTTTTTATTTTCTTACTTTTCCCAGAAAAAATTTAAATCCTTAAAAATTTTGTTCAAATGAAACCATTTATCTCCTCATCCCCATCCTGGTTTGGTTACCAAGCTAAAAAATTGGCTATCCTTTCATCCTCAGTACATACATTTGGGACATAAGCACTGATTCTCATTGGAGTATGCAGCAACTAAACTGTAACATTCCTGGTAAAACAGTAAGTGCTTATGACATCTTCTGATATTTTTACAAAGCTGTGCAGATCTCTTCCAGTCTTTATATATGCCAATGGAAAAAAGGCAGCTGGGAGGATCTGCTGTGAAAATGCAACCTATCAAAGTCTGTGGGAAAACAATGCAGTTAATCTAAGTCATAACTTAAAGAAAAACAGAAGTAACTTGAGAAGGACAATTAAAGTTGGTATAACTATTTTCTATTAAAAAAAAAAGAACAACAACATTAAATGTATGTCTGGTATACATATGAAAAGGAAAAAAGGTACTGAACCATAGAAGCGATACTTATAAAGATGTGACTTGCTGTGTTTATTTTAAAAAGGATAGCAAAACTCCAACTAATTTGAACGGGAAGTAGGATTGATTTTATGATGACTGGCTTTCAGAACATCTTCTTAATTGTAAATAGCATAGTTTTCTACCATAAAGGGTGGGAAATTATTTTAAGGCATTGGCAACATTCACACTGGCATGAAGGGTTGACACCAACTTTCTCAGGGTCTTTACTACCTTAGGTCTGGGTGGGGAACAGAGACAAGCTTAGAAAGAGGTCAGTTTGCCCTGCTGCTGCTCAGGCAGTGATGGTTGGGTGGTATTTTGGTAGCACCATGTACACTCGGCTCTTTTTGAGAAGGAGCAAGCCAGTTGCTGCTCACACTGGGGCTTGCTGAGTCCATTTGGTAATCCTTATCACCACTCTTCTGCATTTTTTTCAGCATGAAAATTAGAGCAGTTGTCCACATTGCCCTTGTATTCCCACAGCAGAGCTACATCTGTGCAGAGCATGACTGGCATCTTATCCACAACTACCTTGCTGCAATGCTAGACCTTGGTGCCCCGTCATAGCTGGTGTCCCTATCAGCTCCTAGGTGTATGTTGCATCTTGAGCACCCGTGCAGGCCGTGGGTGACATGGGAAGACAGATTTATATTGCATCTGTTGATTTTATTTTCAGAGTCTGGTTTGCAAACCACTCTCCTGAATTAATATGCGAGGCTTGCTGGAGCTGGGGGTACAGAGAGCCTGCCCAGAGGAGTGCTTGGAGGAACGTGACTTGATCTCCCTCTTGTGGAAACTTATTGGAACTAAATTGTCGTGATACTAAAGAAGAAAAGTCCAGCATTGTCAGACATGATGGCAGCAGTTACTATGACACCTGATGCTCTTGTCAGCTCACAAGGAACTGAAGAGATGGACTCTCTGATCGTACTGCATTATAATTACACAGGAAAGCTTATTTTAAGGGAAAAGGCAACTGATAACATAGACCTGCCCACTATTGCATTTCTGATCCTATGTAGCTTCATAGTCCTGGAAAACTTGATGGTGTTGATTGCCATATGGAAAAACAACAAATTTCACAACCGCATGTACTTTTTTATTGGCAATCTAGCTCTCTGTGATCTTTTAGCCGGGATTGTTTACAAAGTAAACATTCTTATGTCTGGAAAGAAAACTCTGAGCTTGTCCTCCACAATCTGGTTTATTAGGGAAGGCAGCGTGTTTGTTGCCCTGGGAGCCTCCACTTTCAGCTTGCTAGCAATCGCTATTGAGCGGCATTTGACCATGATCAAAATGAGGCCTTATGATGCGAATAAAAAATACAGAGTGTTCCTTCTCATTGGTACATGCTGGCTTATTGCGATTGCCCTGGGTGCCTTACCCATCCTTGGTTGGAACTGTATAAACAACTTACCAGATTGCTCAACAATTTTGCCTCTGTACTCCAAGAAGTATGTTGTGTTCTGCATTAGTATCTTCATAGCCACTTTGGTTGCCATTGTCATCCTTTATGCCCGTATCTACATCCTGGTAAAGTCCAGCAGTCGCAATGTCGCTAACCACAATAACTCGGAGCGGGCCATGGCACTCCTTAGGACTGTCGTGATCGTTGTTAGTGTCTTCATTGCCTCTTGGTCTCCGCTGTTCATCCTGTTCCTCACTGATGTGGCCTGCAGAGTCAAGGAGTGCTCTATATTGTACAAAGCCCACTGGTTTATTTCTCTGGCAGTCATCAATTCTGCAATGAACCCCATCATCTACACTCTGGCCAGTAAGGAAATGCGTCGGGCTTTCTTCCGCCTTGTTTGTGGCTGCCTGGTGAAATCCAAGGTGGCCAGGTCTTTGCCTATTCAGCACACACCAGATCATAGTCGAAGTAAATCCAGCAGCAGCAATACCCAGAAGCCAAAGGAAGATTTCCCACCGATCAATGTTCCCCCGTGTATTGCTGAGAAAAATGAATCTTCATTTCACAATGGAAACTTCTGTAAATAAAGGACTCCTCGAGTCAAGTACCTTTTTGTGGCTTTTAAATTTAAACTACAAGTGTTGTTTAAGTATTGATGCACTTAAATCGCAGAGGAAAACACTAACCACTTATTTAACTTTGAGGACTTATTTATCAACAACCATTTACTTCGAGTGTTCATTCAGTAAGACACCTGATTCAGAAAAAACCTTTCATGTTACCCAACAGCCAGGTCAGAGTCCATGCACATTTAATGACACTGTGCACCATGATGGCATTGCATGATGAGCCTGCATTCGGCACTGCCTGGTCTTGCAAGATATCAATAAAACCTGTTAGAAACTTCATCATTCACTAAACACTGATGATGATCGAAAAATGAGCCCAATTACTGCTGACTGGGAGAAAAGCTTATTACATATGTTGGTGATTATAGTTCTCTATATGTATCTTGCTGTTATGTTAATGGCCTTATATGTATGTGGTATAAATAGTTGTATATTTGTACAATTCCTTATTAAAAAGTCATTGTTTGATAAAAGTTTACAATATGCTAAACATTGTATTGAAGTATACAGTGTAAAGTGACAAATTATACAAATAGATGTGTTTCAATGGGGATATTTGTAAATATATGAAGTAGGAGATTTTAACTGAACAATATGCTAAACATTGTATTGCAGTATACAGTGTAAGGTGACAAATTATACAAATATACGTGTTTCGATGGGGATATATGAAAATATATGAAGTAGTAGCTTTTAACTGACAGAAACTTTAACATGTCATATCAATGCAGTATTTTTATTTTTTCCTCTGTTATTCAAACTTTTCATGTTTAGTGAAAGACATGACAGTTGTCACTGTGGCATTTCACAATTTTAAACAAGCAGTAGTAAATAACCATTGAGAGAGGCTATATATGTTCACTATTTAAAGTAGTTAAAATGTGACCTAACAATTACATGCGTATCAAGTGTATGTACTGTTTCAATGTATATATTTTTACATATTATTTCCAGTGTATTTAAAAAGATACGTCAAACCTATGTAAACCTGTGTACATTATGAATGCACTACCTAATCTGAGATTCTTCAGTTCTGAAACAGAGACATATCATTTCAGAAAGCAAGGAACCACAACAGATCTCTGTGGAGTTCCTTCTTTTCTTTCCAGGCGTTACCACAACCTGGGATTGTGTTAAAAATTCTCCCTGGGAAGAAGTTCAGCCAGTGGGACAAGATCCCATATTCTGGCAGTGGGACCCTACGCTCCTACCGTCTCCAGGCACTTTTGCAGATATAAGAGAGAAGATGCAGTACAACAGATCATGCTGAAGGGTGTATCTCCATTTATAACTGACCCTGCCTTGGAGCTGGAATGAAAGCCTGTTTAGTTTGGAAGACGTGGAGCCCCACACTTACTCTTTTGAGAGGCTGTTCCAGAGAAACCTGTATGAAAACAACTTTATAGTTTGTCACTGAGGCCCTACCAGCTTCAGTACAGGATGGTGTTCAGCATCAAAGGGGTTCCCTGAGACCTAGAGCAGTTAGGACTTCATAAACATCTCATTTTAAGTCCCTGTGGAAGTGGCTGGTGGTACTTCCATCAGTAGTACTTTATGGCTGGAGGCTTCAGTAGAGGTTAACGGGAAATTCTGAGACTAGTTCCCATTGTCCTTCAGTAAAAACGTAAGCATCTAACTTCATTGGGCTCTTCCAAAGCTTTGTGTTTAAGTCTCAAACCACACCTTGCCTTATGTACAATTTGTAGCTGAGGTGTTTTTAACACACAGCCCGAAAGAGCTCATCCTTAGCTTTTTACGTGGTCTTAGTCACGTAAAGCAGCAGCATTAGATTCTTCTTAAGTATGTGCAGTGTGTAAGTTGTGTAACGCATGTAGCAAAAACCTTTACAATGTGGACGTTTGCTTTGTGATTATCTTTTACACGTTAACAGTCTGTCAATGTTTTACGCTGTTAGAATAGTGTAAGAACAAAGAAAAACTGTATTTGAATGAAATAACTGTGAAAGAGAGTAGTAAATGTAAAGTAATTTCAGCCAAAAATGTTGAAAAGCAGTGCACTTAGAGAAGAAAAAGCTAAACTAAGCTAAGCATGATATAACTATATAAAATGCAGATACAGGCTGGGCCAGCAGCTCTGTAGCTTTGTGAGATGTAGAACTGGTGACACTGAATTGCCATGGCTTGCTTGAGTTTTTAGATCTTACAGTGCTATTTGGCTGTATTTTCAGTGTGAATGTTGTACCCTGAAGTTGTGTCTTTGAAAACAGCTGGCTAAAATATTTGTATACTTCTAAATATTAGCTCACATGGTGGCATATGGCATCATTCCTTGCTATTAGAGAGCAGAAAGGCCTTAGCAACACAACGGTTTGAGAAAAAATTGTGGCTGAGCCCACACCAACTCTCATGTCAAAGTTGTTATGTGATTTTCACTATTTAGGTGATTAAAAGTAATATTTTAATAGCCAAAGACCAAGAATATGCACATAAAAAGTGAGTTTTAACATCTGGATTCTAGCCTTAGCTATTGTCAGAGTTGATGCAAGGTACAAATAATGCAAGCAACTCCACTGCTGGAGGCCTCTGTGTGTCAGTACAAAAACCTTTCACTCTACTTTGATTTCCTTCTCTTATTTTGGAGCTGTGGGGATATTTTGTTAGTTCACTACCCTGCTGCACTTGAAGAGGCTTCTGAGATTTGTGGGTTCACATGTAACACTGATGATACAATTTACAGAGTACTTATGACTGAAGAGGAAAAAACTGTTGTGGATACAGTCTTCAGTGGATACATTCCACTGGGATGTATTAGGTAAAGCACAGATTCTGGAAGACTTCAGAGCAAAATTTTGAAGTAGGACAAGTCAGGGTCTTAACAGCAGTGGACTGCAGACAACCAGGAAGATGTCCTATCACTGAAGCTGGAAAAATAGGGAGAATATCTTCTTTGACTCTAAAATATTAGAAAATTCCTTAAAATGCATCCCATAATCCAAGCTTTTCATCATCTAGGCTGATTTGAGCATACAAGAAACTGAATCAGGTCTCCTTTTCTCAGCTGGTTTTACATGGAGCGAAAGCTACAAAGGAGACCAACATTTCATTCATACTATTTAATGAATTGGAATATTTATTTTGGTTCTGGATTACAAAAGAAATGCAAATCAAACCACCTAAGGAGAAAAAAAAAGATTTCACAAAATGCTTTCCAATAGTCTTTTATTGCCAACAGTCTTATAGAGTATTTTCAACTCATGAGGTACCGTAAACATTTTGAAAACTTTTAATTAAATCTCAAACCTTTGAACCAAAGTTGTGTAGCAGTCATTTTTCAGAGAATTGTGAAAAAGGTTCTGGCCTTCTATGGAAAACATGCATTTAATCTGTGGGTGTCGTGCCTGAAAGCACGACCTGTGGGTACACTGTGCAGCTGAAAGCGGTAGGTTCTGCCTCCACCATCCCTGGAGATGGAGGAAGGCTTTGCCCCCGACGGGGTCCTCTGGCTCACGGGCTCAGAGGGCTGTGCTCTGGCTGCTCCCTTCAAAAGGCACACCTACGGGGAGCGACCGTCATTACGGTGTCGCGCTGCCTACGAGGTTTGTCACTTCCAACTGCTCTAGTAAGGAAATGGGAAACACTTCTGTGTGTGAAGTGCCAGGTGCCAAAACGCTGGGGTCCTGAGAGCAGCCAGTCCACCCCTGCTGAGTGAAGATGTGCTGGCGTCCACCCCGGGTAGTGCCATTTAACCCACCAACATGACCAAGGGCACAGCTCAGCTCCTTGACTTTTCAGGGCAGCTGTGGATCCCATGGTTGGCCAAGGCCTGGGGACACCCCCTTCTCATGGAAAAACCCATGGAGGGCAAGCACAGCAGCAGTGATCAGGGGGTTCTGCTTGGCCACCACTGAGCCATGAGGCTTACCACAGTCCAAAGACCTCCTGGCATCTGAAGTGGGCTGGTGCCCATGCAGAGGCATGCAGCCGTGTGCTGGTACCCATGGTGATGCCTTCAGAGCTGCACTTCTTGTCCCCAAGAGCAATGTAACTTCCCAGGGCATCCCTAGGATCAGCTTTTCTCCAAGTGGGTAAGAGGGAATGGCCTTCGCAAGGAAATGCTTGGGTGGTGGAGGAAGAGGGTTTGAGGAGCTTCCTTCTGATGTGGAGCCTTTCTCCTCTCCACAGTACACTAAATAGCTGCTCTTGCATGACCTTGTCTTTGCACTCATTTTCCACGGAAAGACCATGGGATGGTCTACCCTTGGCTGCCCTCAACTATTCAGTGTGCCAAGCAGGAAAGCTATATTTTTGGGAGACGGTGTCGGGAGACGGCATCATCTGGCCCAGAAAGAGGGCCTGTACGAGTGATTACTTGCATTGTGAAAATGGTATTTGTCAAAAATAAACTTGTGAAAATCAGTGTTGCCTCTGTCAGAGTAAGTTGAACTCCTCTGGTGTAAAGTCAGTGTAACTGAGGTCGAACTCCTTGTGTACCATTTGGTCACTGACGTTTTTCATCCCTGTTTCTACTGAGATGAGTCGTTCACTGACTTACTAATATTCAATATTCAGGTAAAGTATTTATTCTGCTACAAAACAGTCATCCCTTCAGCTAAATAATAATTAAAAAAAAAGAACAAATGAACAAAAAAATCACAAAGAAACAAAAACAAATTAGGCCATTAGGGAATTTGGGCATAGGAGAACACACTCAAGCCTGCTTTACATGAATTTTGATCTGATAGTAGTGCTCATTATTTTATTACTTTGGTTAATCATATACAAACTCAATAATCAGAAAACAGTTGCATGACAATTATATTCCAAATTCTGTTGCTCAAGAAGTTCCTCAGAGACAAAATTTGCCTCTGTAACCAGAATACCACAATCAGCAGACAGGCAAAAACTTGAGATTCACAAAATAGGTTGGGAATATAAATGATCACAATATTTCCACATACATTATTTTTCCTGCAATCCTCAGTTTAAAATGTTTCTAAAAGTAATAAATACTAATAACAAGAGTACAGTCAAACTCTCTTTTACAGCAAAACAGACATTTTTTTGTTTTGTTGCTGTTGCCAACAAAATGCAAAGAAAAACATTTACCTCAAAAGAAGGAACCTGGCTTTTTTCAAGGTTTAACTCTGCAGGACTTTACTGAGAAGCAGTTACCACACCAATCCAGCCACAAAGGACACAAATATATACCAATTATAATCTTTACATTTTTCATCTAATAAAAAATTTCACTTAATTTGAATGAATATATGTCTGGATGTGTTTGGTGGTTTTTATTTCACAGAAGAAAAAGGAGGATGGCTGGTAAAAGCTGTCATTTGACCTGTATGCTATTTGACCTTCATGATAGCTACATGAAATGTAAATCTGCATCCTAATCTCAAAATCTGAGGCCACCTTCCTTTTCTAATTCATTCATGCTGTCTCCCTCAAAGTGGGGTAGCAGAATGAGTCATCCAGCTTTCGCTTCTTTCTTCCTTTGGTTTCCATGGCCTGTCCTGTTGTCAAACAAACTTTAAACGCTCTTTATATGGTGCTTTTGCTAGAAATGTGTAGCTCTGAAATCTTTTCCCCCTTACTGAGACAAAAAAAACTGCTTTTTCTCAGTGGAAGCCATACAAGATCCTTATGTTGGAGTATGCAGAGGAACAAATCAAGGCTTATGAACATAAATGTCTCAAAAAGAGATGAGCAGTAGGCATTGCCTAAGTATTTTGCAGTTCATCTTCCCAGAGGTTCTGCTTTAACCCTATCAACCAATTAGCATGTTTATAATTTGGCAACAGCTCTCTGTTTTCATTAGTGGTTTATATGCCTGTTGGCTCGCGTTTTCAAGCTTCACATTTCCTACCCCTGAGTTTTTCTCTCCCAAGACAGCTTTTCACTCCCTATCCAAGCCTCTGGTTAACTGCAGGCAAATTGTATGTCCATGTTATCTTTTCCACAGGCCTGCCCTCATTCCAGCTGCATCCAATGCAGATGTGAGGATGGTCCACAGACACTGTGTGCGAGTGGCTAGAGTAGGTACAGTGGAGCACAGAGCCTTTAGTGGGAATTTGCCCATCCCCTGACAGCTTTGAGCAAGCATAGATTTGTGGAGTGCAACCCTAGGTGTGGGCAAAAAGACCACTCAAATCACCATATTTTTGACAATACGCTAAGGTAAATCTGCATTTGGATTTTACACAGACATATTTTGAAAATGTCTGGAAGATAAAAAGGGAAGTGTGCATGTTATTTCAGCTTAGACTTTGTTTATGCAAATGCGGTTTACTTAATATAAATTCTCAGTTCTACCACTTACTTCAGATAGACAGTGGATGCTAAGAACAAAAGCTTGAAAGCAGAATTTGTAACCTTTTGTCAGAACATGCACAAGTTCCAAATTTCCTCTTTAGAGCTGCAGATTTCCTGGAGGCTGCAAAACTCTGCTAGTTTTCAAATGGAGCACTTGCTACTTAAAAATATCTAAATATGCATCAATTCTATTATGAATACATTGTAGCTGGCATCTGGTACTTGATGTGCCAGCAGCAGTCACACTGTGGTATACATTTTTTTAAATTCTCCTCATCTTACTGCACAGCATCATGCCTGGGGACCATGATGATAAGAAATGTGAACATATTTTTTCGCAGAGGAGAAAAAGAATGAACCTAGGATATAGAAAATCTAGTGCCTGCAGGTGACATTTACCAGACTGTTAGTAAACATATTCTTCAGGTGACAGTGCACATTTTGCACTCAAATCCTGGTCCCAGGACTATGTCCCTTGCCCAAGCTTTTACTGAACACATCTGGCAGAGGGGTTTCTGGCAGAACCAGTGTTACCTCCCATTGGGAACCCAGTAAAATGTGAAGTGTGGGGACTCTTCTGTATAACCTTGTATCCTCACTGTGTGTGCAAAGTCGTGGGCAGGGAGGCAAGCAGGAAGCCTTGGAAATTGCTTCTCCTTCTATAGTCTCCACCCAGGCATGGCCAACTTGAATGTCCTCTTCTTGCATTAGGGAGAGAAACCTGGGAGTCCTCACTCTGGGCAAACGCCTGCTGAAGTCAGAAGGTAATCCAGTCTTCAAATCACATTTTCTACCTTTGAGGTTTCATAGCTTCTGAAGCATCTTAAATAACTGAATGTTTGGGATCATGCCTGTGCCTCAATGTCCAGTCTATCACTGCCAGCCTCACTGGAAAATTTTATTATCCTAATAATTACTCTGGGTCTGCAATAAAATGAATCAGAAGCATTTGGTTTACTTTTGAAAGTTCTTTGTTTAAAGCAGTCAAATGTGTTTTTATTGCCCACAGTTCACATAGCTGCAACACAACTGAAATCAAAACTGATAATCAGATAGGACTCAGGATCAATGTAGACAGTCTTGCAGGATATTTAATTTCAATTCTGAGTTCTCACCTATCCCCTGGGAAAATATCAAATGATACAATAATATTGTCTAATCTCAGATTTCTGTTGAGTCTAGTAAATTTGTTCTTTCAGTAGAATCCCTGTTCTTTAAGTCATGGTACTGAATTATCACCAGCAAGTGTCTAGCCATTGGGGTTGAATGAAAGAAGGTAAGAAATGAGGGGAACTCAGAACCAAAGTCAAACGTTAAAAGCCTCAAATTGTTATCCTGTCAGCTGTCTGGTTTTCAGCCAATCGCACGGCTTTTGAGCCCATCTCATAACTTCTCTAAAATTGCTGGCAGTGTTGGCTCCTCAGAGAAATGAGCTCTGCCTCTCCGGCAGGATCAACTAGCTCTTGCTGAGCGCAGTGTAAAATGGTCTTTTGACTCTAATGACCACAGGCCTGGAACTGCTATCCAAATGGCTATACAATTTTTATATTATTCTTGTATAGGGGAAAGCCAAATCTACAAGAGTGGCAGTGACAAAGAAAATGGCAGGATCCACAAAAGGAGCATTGATTGGCTCACATGCCCTTCCTTCTTGGACAGCTTTGAGGTCGTTTGGTTCCCAGTGACTTGGAAAAGCCTCTGGATCATCACACCTGGCCAGATAGGATCTGCTGGCCCATTGTGGCAGCAGGGCACTGTCGCAGCCCAAAGGCACTACCACTACCTAGGACCAAGTTGCATCTGATCAAGCTATGTGTAACCTTTGCTTCATCGATGTGCATGCTGAGCTGGGCAAATTGGCTATGCTGACAGAGCAGCTTAAAATAGCCACATTTTCCTGGAGGCAGAGTATGTGAAATGTAGTCTGGGGAATTTAATATTTCTGTCAAGCTGCTTCATTTTGTGTCTCCTTGCCACCTGCTTTAATTTCCAAAACAGGCAGGTAAGTGGTTGCTAAGTTACTAAAGCTACAGCTAGGACAATGGTAAAAAATTTTAGACACCTATTTCAGCATATGTTTAGTGTCTTCATTCATACACCCATATATTATCACATTTTTCCAGGCATACACTGACAGGGTATTTACAAATCTAAAACAGACATAGGCAGCAGGTGGGATTTTTGAAGGCACCTAAGGGATTTAGGCACCTGGATCTTACTGAAGTGATATACCACATTCAAAGTACAAAAAAGGCCTTCTCTTATACTTAGTGATACCACACTAAAACCTTTCAAGGTCGTAGCTATAGGGAAGTGGGAGCATGGAATGATAAGTGTTATATGTGACAAAAAAGGTTGAAACCAAGATACTTCAAACTGGAATGTGGTGAGAAATGGATGCTCATAAATAAAATAATTTTGATGGAAACTGCTTTGGGGGTATGAGATCTCCTCACATTCCCTTGCAATTTCCAAACTGGTAAAAGGACAACCCAAATTTTAACAATTCCACTAACCATCATAACATACTAATTTGTGTTACAATGAACCATTTAATTTCTTTCTTTTACTCTTAGCTCCCACCCAGACCTAGAAATATCAACTAATAGCTATCTGCAATAAAATTAATTACAAGCATTTTTTAAACTCATGTCTTAGTTTGGCTTCTGAAGGCCTTAATTACAGAACCAAGTGTATTTTTATTGAATGGATCATGTGATTAGTCTTTGGTGCCTCAATCATTTTTGTTCTTGAGATCAACCAAAAGCAAACTTTCCAAGTTGCAACTTGGCCATATTTAAAAGCAGAAGGTACAATAAAATCACTCCAGGATTTTAATATCATGATCCTACCTGAATGTATTCTAAGTGAATCCTTTGGTCAGTTTGATTGTAGTTTGACAAGTCTTTAAATTTAGCAAAATCTTAAAACCAAATCTAATTTTAAGTAGATTTAAGTATTGACTGCTTCAGGGTAGGCAGGTGCTTAACCTGGACTTATCCTGCTGAGTCTTGGCCTTTGTGAATCAAGTCTGAAAGTTTTATTTGAGATACTGGTGCTAGAGAAGACCTTGGAATGCTGAAGGCTAAATCCTGGCTCTGGCACAAACTTTGCCTTTACAGGAACTGTGTCTATTGAATTTGGCTCTTGATAAACTTCATAAAATAGGAAAATCACTTCATATCGTGCTTGCATTTGAATAGTAAAAACCTTCCTTAAAAGATTTCCCAGCACCAAAACTCAAGGGCATTTCTGCCAGAAACACATCTGTAGTGTATGTGTATTTTTCAACTTGGTATGTAGAGAAAAGCAGTATATTTGCAATACCTATCACTTGCTGAAGGCCAAAGTGAAGTTATGCTTTGGTAAGTAAACGCAAATGGCATCATTTGCAAAACTGACCACTGAGTCATGATAGTTTTCACTGTTTATATGAAGAAAAGCTTTTTCAGATATGTCTTTGAACAACCATGTACATCTTGCATCAAACCTATTAGACACAAGTTACTTGAACTTGCCTAATCTGTATGTAACATCTCACTGGAGACTGGTAGTCAAGGACACCTAGATCTTCACCATAAGCAGAGAACTACTTATAAATAACCTTAGCACTCAAATTAATAAATTAAAGTTACAGACTATTGTTACATTATCATTAGAAAAATCAAATGCACACATCTTGTACACAGAGAGATCACACCAAATAATTGTTAAAGCAAAATACAAATGTTTTGAGTAGCATCATATAAGAATTCAAACTTGACATCAGAAAGATAAAATGCTTTTGATATCAGTGACACTGAATAACGCCTTTAAAAATCATTTTATGCTAAATTTCTGAGTTGGAATACTAGTTGCTGAGTTCAGATTCCTTTCACGGTTAAGCAGCATAATCCACCTGTAATCCCCATAGTTGTGCTTCTTAGGTAAAATCAGAAATAAGATTCTCAATATTCATCTTCTCATGAAATTGAGACTGCTAAATTCTATTTTGATCTGAACAATCACAACTGGAATTTTTCTTCTGGTAAAAACACATGGCACAGAAGATAGTTCTATACCATCCACAGACAGACTTGAAAAATATAAATATATATTGTATTTATCTATATAATGTGCATATATACACTATCAGTATTCACATTAGAGAATCCGAACAATTTTATTGAAATTACTTTTTAAGAAAGCCTTTTGCTGTGACTTCACATCTACATAAAGCATTGAGAATTTTCAAGTACCATGTGAAATGGGGCTTCTTAAACCTACAGAAAACATACTGGTGAAATATATGTGAATATGCATTTCTTTTTAATGTGCATGTTTTTTCAGATCTGCAATTTCTACCAGTTATAGCTTGCAAATTACAAAAACTGAAATAGTTATCTGGAGTCAGTGTTTCCTCTCAGCAGGCTGCTGCAGGCAGAGTTCACTCCCAGAAGAAACTATTGGCAAATTATTCTCAAGATGATGATTGATGAGATGACTTATGCTGTCAAAGACACGATCTTTTGTACGAACCTTCGAAAAAAGGATGCAAGAAGATAGATTAAAGAGCAAAATACTTTCCCCCTTAACTTCCACTAAAGTTCTCTAAGAATAAAATTATACAATTAATCAAGTTTTAGAGACTGATCCCTCTCACATCAAAATCAGTGGAAATTTGGTATTTCTGAAGTTTTGCTTTTGTCTCACGCCCTCTATTCTTGCCAAACAGATATTTTGCATGCTACCTACGGGCCAGTCTACTGCTATTACTCTTTCGGAACAGGTCTGCTTGAAAACTTTTTGTACAACATTTTGTTTTAAGTCTGATTTTTAGATAAATTTTTTTTCTTCAAGAGATCATCTGCTTCTTTTAAGTGTTTTCACCTTTTTCATTAGAAAGAGCTGTCCTTCTAGAGATGCCAGAATCCAACTCTTTGCTGTGCACCTCAGCATCTTCGTGCTTTCCTTAACAAAGATCTTCTTCTTCAGGTGCTCAGAAATTCCCTTTCCCCAAAAGTGATACAGCCACCACGTGTGCTTGACTTGGGCTTGTCCCATGCTGCACAGTACACCCCCGTGCCTTTGAAACCGAAACACTTCATGGCAGGGAACTAGCCCATTTACCAGCCCTCTGCACTGGCATCCTGCTAAGTATGCTAAATATTACACCCATGACAAGAGCAAACTTAGATTGCAAGGTAAAACAGTTAAAGTTATCAGGACAGGCCAAAAACTAATCTATATTACAAAACAATCTTTAATTATTTAACGGCAGCTTCACAAAACATTTCCTTCCTATGTTTAAAACGAGGTAGGCATATAGATTCGATAGGCAGAGCACAGGTCCTCTCACACAGATGTCAAGCTGCAGTGAAGCTTTGGATTGGGATGGCTCTACACTGACTCAAGCAAAAGTCTGCGAGCACTGCTCTGAAGTGAGGCATGCTGTCTATTTTCCTTGCACTTTTCGCAGAAAGAGAGAACAACTTCTGTTCAAACTTTGCAAAACCCTTCTGTTCAAACTTTGCAAAACCAGCTTCTGCTGTGATGGGCACCTCGCTTGAAATATTTCAGTCTTCATCATTAAGTTCTGTTCAAAACTGCTAGAAACTTACCACGGAATGTCACAGGGTAAAAATCAGAAACAACTTAGGTGGCAAATGACACTATCTGCTCAGTGTGCATGTAGCTGCATCACTGAAGAAAAACAACAGGTTCTCATGATTTCTGAAATGTAGTTCTTTGAAACATTACTATCTGTAATTATTCAAAGCTATATTTTCAAAACTAAAAGGTATCTTTAAAACAGCAGTAACTTTCTTTATCTATATTCAGATTAACACATTTTCAGTCCATTCAACTCAGCTGAGATTTTTCTCACCATAAACAATATGCTCTGACATCACCAGAGTTCAAACCCTAATTCTAAATTCAGCAAAAATTCTGCAGTCCTCCATTTTAAGCATCCCTTACCTGAACTAGAGGTCTTTTTTTTTTTGTCAGCTGGTTGAGAGCAGAAGCAACTGGACAGTTAACTCTGCTCGGGAAACACACCCTTAAGAGCTGCCATGTGTGACTGGATAACTTGTGTGTGAAATTAATTTTCAGGCAGCCTTTGTGTGAATGGGTTTTACAAATAATCAAGCCAAGGCCACACAGAAGAAATGCAAGCCACTGCACGCTGCTGCAGCTGGGCACACACTGGCATTTTATTCATGATTCTCCGCTCTGACAAGTCGCAAATAGGGCTGCTCGGGAGCTGTGTCAGGATCCCACAAATCATATAGACAGCACAGCTAACCTAAATACAGCTGTAGAAAAGCTGCTGTTCTCAAGTGGTGCCTCCTGAGTGAGTAGTTTTGGAGCCATTTGGGCCATGATGGCACATCACAAGTAGGCTGAGGGAAGGGAGACGTGTAGGGAACAAGCAGGTCCCCACATGAGGAGCTCATCAAATTAGTGCTGCTCTTACAGGCAGTGCAGAAAAGATGGTGGGGCATCCACCCTCTGCAGGAGGAAAATGCCCCAGGAGTCATCACAGAGCCCGAGTACTCCATGCCAGTCAGCAGAGCAAGAGAGCTCCTGGTGGGACATAGCGTCCCTGCACTTGTCATATGACACAGCAGCATTTTCCTTGCAGTAGCCTGTGACAGCTATTTTGGGGGTTTATGTTGAAGGGAGAATTAGGGGGCCCTGCTGCAGGAGTCTCAAAACTGTTGGCAAAAGTTTAGCAAAGGAGGCTGCCCCCCCAAGAGGTGTAGGGCCCCTTCCCCAGGCTGGTGTCCTGGTCAAGCCCAGGACTAGGCAGCTGACACCTGAAAAGCGTAAAACAATTCTTTGACTGGTCTCATGTGGCAAATGTAATTGTAAGTACCATGGGCATTCCTCTCTGCAGCATTACAGGCTCTGCAGGACCAGCGTCATTCCGCCACAGGTTTCTCAGCTGAAACAGATGCCAACAGGCTTATCATCTGAAGTCATCTTTTACAGAGGAAAAGGAGTTGCCCACTCTCAGCTACCAGGAGCCAAGAAAAAAAATGTGTGGCAATGCCTTCCTTCTTTCAGGTGAGACTAAGCCTTTCCAGAAGCAGGACAGGACAGCCACAGAAAAATGGAGCTTCCTTGCCCTCTCCAGACTGCTGCTGGGAGGGCTCCTTTCTCAGCCAGCTCAGTCCCTGTGCAGCAAAGAGATGGAGCAGGTTTACTCCCGGTCTCTCCTAGGCTTACATGCAGGAAAACACAGAGGGCCTCGTCCATATCCTGGCTGACAGAGATGTCAAGTGGGAATTGGTGGCACACAGGCTGGCAGAACCTGCACAGATACCGGCTTTCTCAGGAGGAAAGCTAAAGAAGTGGCTTAGCTGCATTTCTGACTAAGACTGTACTGCAGTGGCTAAAGCTTGACCTTTCTAGGGAATCAGGTCCCTAAGGTTCCCTACAGTGTGCAGAAATCATGCAGTGGGTCTTCTGCTAGGCATCAGGGAGAGAATTAGGGATATGATGGCATATTAGAGATATGAGGCTGTACTTCTGATCAGTTGTGAAGAAGCTGTAAACAAGATTAAACACATTTAGAAAAAATGTGTAGAGTCAGAAAACTGTATTACTGAGAAGTCAGCACTTACGGTTCCCTCTGGGTCTACCAAAAGAAGATGCTTGGCTTGTCCATTGTGCATGCCTGTCAGCACATAGGAGCCGGGATTCGTGGTACTCTTCCTCACAAGGAAGTCTCCACATTTCTTTAACAGCTGCTCTGCTTCTTTCCTGCTCATCTCTCCTTGATACCACGGCTCTGTACTCAGCTCTTCAGCTACAGTCCAGTCAGCTGCTCTCGATAAAAGAGGACTGGTGCATCCCGTGGAGGTAGATTTCCTCAGTGCAGCCTCAGATGTTTGGTTCTTGAGGGCGTCTTCAAATGGTTCTGGTTATGGAAATAGAAACAAGGGCAAGATCATTCATAGGTAAATCATGTTACAAAATAGTGATATTCCAGTAATTTTTAACTGGATTTATTTTGTGTTATAGCTACTTCCCTTTATCTTTATGAAAAAACTGAGGGAAGATGTACAGCTAGGCCTACTGATTTATGGATTATATTACGACCGAGGAATGTAATATGTTAAAAATGTATGTTATGCACAGAAAGATGCTGAGAAAAATGAGAGAGAACCTTGGCAGGAGCTTTTGAAAGGTACTGATTTTATTTCAGTAATGGCTATTGTCAGCAGTTGCATTTATATGCCCTGGTACCAGGCAGAGCTCTCCTTTTGTCTTGCCAGGTACATCAGACAGTTTCATTTCAAATAAATTGCATAATATGGGTAGCCAATGTCATTATACTCCTACCTGGTCTCTTTTCAAACAACATATTCATTTAAAAATTATCCATTACTGAGTCTTCAGCCCAAGGGTATATCTACAAGAGATTGGTTGCCCTTACCACACAACCTACTCCTAGCCTTCACCTAGGAAGAGGACTTGGCAATACAGACACTGGCTATCACCTCTAATGTGATTCACCTAGCTGAAATCTTTTAAACCACAGCTAAAGCCTGAACTCTGTGTTACTTTCTGTAGAGTGGAATGAAAAGATGTGTCATTACAGATCCCAAAAGTCTTACAGAAATAGTAAATAGGTCTGTGTGTACTTCATTATTTTCTGTACTGACCTACTGGAAGCTATTTTCTGTTGCAAGACCTTCATCTATCCAACTAGCGCATATTAAAAAGAGGTATTGTTTTGTGCCCACTAGACTTAGGAAAGGACATCTGCAGAGCAGTACCATAAAGCAATACATCAGCTCTAAAGAGACTGCTCAGATACAAGGAGTACACTGCCATGTTTGCATGTGGCAACAGAGACATTAATTTAGCTCAGAGAAATAGGGTAAATACCATGCTATCACAATTTATTGATACCTCAGCTAGTTCTTAAAATCAGCTTATGTATATATCTTCACTACAGTGCAGTCTGCACTAAGCCCAACACATGGTTAGCTTGACAAACCACTAACTTAGGGCTAGTTTACAGACTTTCTAATAATACTTTTCCCCAATGATCCAATGGTTAATAAAGATTAATGAAGGCTGGAAGATGAGAAAACAACTTTCCCTATTTTTAGGGAAATAATGCATATAAAATAGAAGTAAGCATGTGCATGTTTTAAGGGCACAGCTTGTTAGAAAACAAGGTTAACATTCCTGATTTCAGACAGCACACTTTTCTCATTTCAGATCTATATTCACAGATAGTTATTCTTTCAACTTTCTTCCCTCCCCCTTTCTTTCAATCCAAAATCTCCCTAAAATGTGGAAATAGAACTAAATCTCAGCAAAAACATGCCAGGAAGACAGTTTTATATATACTGAGATAAATTAAATGTAGATATGTTATTTTACAAATAACATATAGGCACCAACTGCTTTGTCTCACTGCCTTTTAATTATGTGAACTGAATTAAATATATCATGCGTCAGCAATTGATTGTATGTAGGAAGGTTAGAAAAACAAAGAGAACAAAGAAAATTTTCTGTGCATCAAACTGCTTTCCCCATATTTCCTGTTAAGTATTTCTTCAAGGCTGAAAACAATGTGTATTGGTAGCACCAACATCAAATTGTGACTGATGTTTTAACTATTGTTTTATGGCTATGATTCTAATTTTGGAAAAGCTGACTTCAAAATTGGGACAGATAGCTAGATAGGATAGTAGGCTTATCCAGAGCAAGGGATAATTTGGCCTTTTAATTTCCCTCCCAGCTTCCTTGTTGCACAAAGTTTTTGTAAATGCATTGACTTCCTAGTAACATATTCACAGGACAGGCTGGAGCTAATTCTCCAGCCATTCACTCCTTCACTTTTCTGCTGACAAGATTCCTGATGTATTTTCCTTCTGATGTAGTTGCCTGTGATGCTAAGGATAACAGACTGTAACTCACTTTAACTGAGATATAACACAGACTAGCTTCAAATATTCAGCCACCCTTATTTTAACTAGGTCCAATATGAAACCACCATGGATTTTAAAATTCACCACAATTCCACTAGGAATACTAACATTTGGAGAATTTTAAAATTATTTTTATACAGAACTAATGTATAAACATATTGAGTTACTTGTTAGAAAGGCAGTAAATAGGAAGGGAACTCACTCATGTCAAACAGATCCTTTCCTGGGCTGCTCTCTTTGGTATCATCTGCTGTTCCACTGAAGGTACTTTCAGCATCTGCCTGGAGTGCCAGTAGAGCTTCTATATTTATATGCTGTGTGTTTACGTATGTTGGCATCTCTGCTGTTGGGCTTACTTTTGAATTCCCTTCTGGCATACTACAAATATCCAGAGATCCTAGAAAATTCAAGACTTTTTTTCTTCTTTTTTGCATTTGACTGAACAGTGTTATAGTGACCAAATAACATCACATCCCACCACCACAGGTTTAAAATTCCATGGAATGGGAGACGTAAAGTGAGTAACTGCAGGATCTAGTAGAAAAAAATGTTCATGAATGGATTCAGAACTGTGCTTCAGTGAGGGCGGGGGGGGGGGGGCAGCGGGAAGCACTATTATTCAGCAGGAAAGGAAACTTTTGTAAATAAAGACTGTCAGTTTCAAAAATTACGTTTTGTTGGGGAGTCAGAAGCAAATGGAATGAAATCCTCAAGTCTGAGCAGATTAACAACAGATAATGTATTGTGGCATTTGAAAAGAAAGTGTCCCCAGAAACACAGTAAAGCTGTCACATAAAGGTGGATGGGGTGAAATTTCACATGTATGTTTTCATGTGATTTGCTTAAAGTTCATGGACAACAACAAAGAGAATATTATGCATTATTTGTTATTCATGGAGCAGAGGTCATGCACAAACACATGTATTGCTCCACATTTTAAAAAAACTTCTGACTTTATGCTCTTCCTTTGGAAACTCCATCTTGCATACCCTAGTAGGTCAGATTTTCAGAACAGACTATACAGCCTGTCTTCAAATACCATGGGGTTTTAAGACGTGGCAAGATAGAGAGCTGAAGGTTTGGGGCAACTCTGTGAACTGCTTTGCAAAAGATAAGATTTTATGAAGGTATTAATTTAATAATTTATCCAGAGGTAATTACCAAATGCATTTCACTGATATCAACACTAAAGTTCGGACAAATCTATCAGCGAAGTGCAGTTCACTGTTTAAGACTTTGAAGTATCAGACTTTCACATGTTTTGCCCACCCAAGACATCCTGCAGTATTATAGCTAAAACTAGCAAAACTCACCTTGCTTAACAGGCCCATGATGCCAGTCTTCATTGAATTTGTCTCCTAAGTGACGACTCTGGTAATAGGTTTGCTCTCCTCCCACTCCTGCTGCAGACTAGAATGGACACATGTGCAAAGAAATTTTCAATTACCTTTAAAATGCTCAGATACATTATGAGTGCCTCTGACAATTTCCTTGGCTGTATTCTGTGTACTCCCACTCTTCATTTCCAATTCATCATGGTGTCAGAATATATATCTCACAAATGCGTTTGTGTAGGAGTAAGATATTACCGGTGACCTTCATGTAAACTTCCTTGCTTCCTGCTTTTATTAACCCCCGCAACCCCAAATGATGCATCATCTCCTCTAGTACATTTGTCTTCACATAGCAAGCCCTGACAAAACATGCCTGTGAAAAGCGTTCCACAGAAACACACCTGAGACCAGAAGACCCACCCCAGCACCCTCCAAAGCATGAGCTGAAAGACTCACATTGGTACCAGGGGACACACTTAAGTACCAAAGGGAAGATGTTGTCTACAGACAAGGCCTCTCTGGATTTAAGCAGAGTTGTGCTGGATTTGAAAACTCCTCTTAGGTAGCTATGTTGATACTGCAGTCAAACTTTTGATAGGAATGCTGGTAGAAATATCCAGGCTGACCTCAGTTCAATGTGAGGTAGAAAACCTACCTCAGAACCTGCTGAGTTATTAACATAATGAACTGTTAGTAAAGATTGCATAGATTGTTTACAAAATTGTGCATGAAATCTTTCCTGGCTGGTGTGCACTATTTGATGCTCTCTGATACAAACATGGTTTCTACAAATGTAGTAACCCTCCGTGGATTTCTCTTCCATGAACCTGTGTAATCTTTGAACACCATGAGGAACTCATCTCTCTTTGTTTGTTCTAAACCTGACTAATTGGTTGACCCCCTAGATCTTCAATGCCCATTCAGAAGGAAGCTGGCCACACATGTGAAGGGCTGAGAGCAATAAATAGTCCCAATATATCCATCTTAAAACACACATATTTTTAAAAATTTTGGATCCACCAGCCGGAGGGCAGAGATGCGATTGCACTGACCTGAGCTGTATCTGCAGCAGTGGGAAGTCTTGCTTTGAGCCTGGCATCAATGAAGCCGCCAGGGGGGGGCATTTTATTTGGGATGTTGTTATAATAGGGATGTTCTGTCGTCTCGTTATCTTCCTCCATCCAGGGCTCATCAAAACTCTGCATTCTGCAAGAAAGTGAGTGCTTTACTTTGCCCCTCACTCACAAAACACTTGCAGATACTTGCAGCATGTTAAGACTGCCTGTCAGGGGATCACTATTGCATATTATTTTGACAATTCAGCTACCATTGTAAATCAGGAAGCAATGATGGATCATGCATTAGACCTTCTCTGTTTAGACAAACAAACCTGAACCTTCTTTACAATGGATGAAATTCTTTATGCTGAGTAAAGGATGTTTCTACTTAGCTTTAAAGACCAACATAAACTGCATTAACAAACAATTTTATTTAACCTTACATTAGCATTTGTAATATTACTTGATTGATTTACTGAACTCTAAAACTTTGTCTTTTATTATGGTTGCTCTATTACTGGCATAAACCTGGAAGAGCTTCACAAAATCAAGAGATCGGATCTGTGGTTTCCATCTACATTTAACAGTCATTTACATTTACACAAGTCTAAAGTGAGTACAGAATGCTTCCAGGTTAGGATAGTAGCATTTTATATTCACCATACACTCATTTTACCCTGATATAAGAGATTACACAGGGTACCAGCTCACTGAGATTTATACTAATGTTAACAAGCAAATAGCAATCCATGTCAAAAAACAATGACAACAGAAAGCTACATCACAACCTTTTAAACATATACAAGCAGACAGACTTTGTATCCTCCAGAGAACAATGCAGTCAAAGCCTCTGTACAATACACTACATTCCTAAAAACTTTACCCTGGCTAGTATAAGAAACAGTGAAACATCACTAAACATTTTGGAAGCCCAGAAACTCTAGCTTACTTCATCCAAATTGACAGAGCTGCTATGACAGTAACAATGATGAAACGCCACAAATAATACCCATTTTTGGTCATCGAACTCTGCCTACTAACTACAACAGAAAATGCATGATCATTTCAATAAGTTCACTGTGAAATCCATATTTAGTCTGTTCTTTTAAAATGACTGTGCTCCTTTCATAGTCATTAGGCAAATGCTGCTCTGCTAATTCAGCAGAAATCTCTTTTTAAAGTATTTAAATCCTGTCCATTTCCACCAACTTTGTCCATAGCACATTTCATTAAGTAAATACAAAGCTAAAGAAGATCCTTTAGCAGTCTTCTGCAATCATACTCACCTATCATGAAAAGTAGGTATCTTAGAAGGGCATCGCAAGTATTGCTTAAACCGAAGCTCAAATGCTTGCCCTATGGTGCTGATGACATCCTGGGCCAGGCCATCACAGCATTCCAGTATATGACAAGCTAAATGAAAAAGATTTGACACGTGCACATGCAAATCATTGTTCATGTTATGGTGGGATGCACTGACCTATGACAGAACACCTACACATCAGGTATAGTTGTCCTATTCATGGTGTGTGCATTTCAATAAAGCTCAATTCTGGCACAGTGAATTTCATACAATGGAGTTTTCTAAAGGTTAAATAAGATTGTTCTGGTGTGTAACTGTAATAAACAAGACCACAGATCAGTTCCACAATTTTAACAAATCCATAGAGACAATAAATATCATAAATTTCACTTATTTTTACCTGGATGCAATAGATTATATGAGAATTCTAAGCTTTAAGTTGAAATGATAAAAATATTAGTAGATGGTAACAACAAAAAAAGCTTTCTTTGCTTTTCTCAATTTTATTACTTCAGTTTTATGTCTAATCACCTCAAGTCTGCAAGCTGTCACTCTGAGTTCCCAGAATTTCCCAAATTACAGGCTGAGGAAGGAGCAGTAACTAGGATACTTCTTAGAACACAGGCCCTGATCTGATTCCAGGAATACAGAGTCTGATACTTTTTTCTGTTTGTCTGTATGGAGACACTCCCAGAAAACAGGGATCACTCAGGAGCACAGAGACAGGACCCTGGTTAACTCCAGCACTCCCTCATGTGCCACCTCTCTGAACCCACGGTGGCAGAGACCCTAAGGAGGGAGGTTGACAACACAAGCTCTCTTCCTACAGGTGGTGAAGAAACCTTTATCAACTCTCTGAGCAGCCAAATCCGTCTCGGTTTTAAATCAGAGAATGGTTCAGAGGTATCATCTTATGTGACAACATAAACAATCGAACTCATGAAGATTTCACCAAACACTACAGGAACGTAGATGGGTGTTAAGAGCTGGAAACTAACATCTGAATGAACAACACCCCAGTGATATTCATAAAACCCCAGGCAAGTTAATTTTCCATATTCAGCGCTGGACAAGCACATGGTCTACTGGCTTGAGCCTGGATTAGATTTGAAATTCTGGTTCTCTTCCAAGTCCTGCTGCACTATAGTGGGACCTTGTCCAAAGTTACTAATTTCCATCACCCCTGACTACTTTAATAACCTGAATATAAATTCTTCAGCTGAAAAACTTCATTTTAGTATATGTCCAGTATCAAGCTCTGTGGAATCAAGTGCTTTGGATGCCAATGTTTTACAAACAAGGGCTGGTTGTGACATTTGTGTGACATAATTTTCATTAAAGCAATACAGGGAGACTAAGGAGGTTTAGCAATGACTTCTCAGAGGTTGATCTGCTGGACAGACTGCTGAAGAGGCCAGAATAAAGGGCCAAGAAACCTGCAGTTATGCAGGTATGGAATGACCAGGGCACCAAGATGTCTCTCCCTCAGCAGCAGCAGCAGCAGCACCTCATGCAGAATGAGATGGCATGAGATGCTGCCCTGCTGAACAGATCCAGTGATGCTCTTGTCTCACCTTATAGCCTCTGCTGTGCCGACAAGCATGCTGAAGCAATGCCTGATTCAGGGGAAATGTCCTTATCTGCATGCTGAAAGTGGATTTAGCAGCCAAAACCAGGACCTCCATGTGTTCAAAGACTGAGCCAGACATCCTTAGCTAGCACAGTATATTTTCTGTTTATCCCCTCTGCATCACTGCTGGTGGCAGTGGACAATCAGCCACCAGATAAGGTGAAGACTTATCTCTATGAACATGGACTGAAAGTAGTTAGGCCAAACAAAGCTACGATTTCTGCACTCTAGTTATAGAATGGGGATTTAAAGAGGCTACACTGCTCACTGCTAAACCTGTTTGGAGTGAAAAAGAAACATGAGTCATTAAGTAGTTTCAGTAGGTGACATAATGAGTAACCTGTTTCCTTGGATACATGGATGGACTTTCAGCAGGTAGGAGATGTGCTTCTTGTAAAAAGACGAGAAGGTTTGGCTCACACAGGGATGATTTCTTGTGAAAGTTACAGCAGAAGACAGACAGCCTTTAGCTTGCTAGATCCAGGATATAAAGCATGAAGAGATCTTTTCCATCCTTGGGAAAAAATGAGTCTAATATGCAAGTGAAAGCTATACTACAGCATCAGTGCTAGCATCAGTAACAGCAGAAGTAACATTTTCACTAGATAGAGAAGTAAATTTGAACTCATTTCTAAACTAATTTTCAGATAACACAAAGACTGACAGAATGGCCAATCATGGTCAAAAGGAGCAATCAAGATCCCTTAGAAAACTACACTTTTTAAAAAAATGTGTCTTAATACTGGTCACATACAAAGTCACTGATCTGCAAACCACTGATGTACACACACAAATGGGGAAAGCTCCCATGGAAAGCTGTAACACAGAAGCTTAAAGATCACAGTCTGAAAGAATTTCACATGAGAACAGCACTTCAGTGCAGCAAAAAGGGCTTATGAGAAACTGGCTAATGACGAAGAGAAGAGCAAGTAAGAATAGGAAGGTGCAGCCTCTGATATAGATTGCTGACATTAATACTGGATTAATCCAAATAAAACCAGGCATCATCTACCTTTTTAAAACAATGCAGAAAAATGAAAGAAGGATGAACATAAATTATCTGAAGGATGGAGGACATGCACGGTTGCTGGAGACCTACAGAGTTCGTTCTGTCAATCTTTTCCTAAAGAAAACTGAGAAATTACTTGAACTAAATACACTACAGGAAGACAATACCAGGTGCTTAGATGACTCCTTAATCTAGGATACACTAGCTCAACAAGGAACAGTGACATGAAGTAAGGCTAAACACATTCAATTTAGATGTAAGGATCATAGTCCATGAAACGGTTTCCATATAAAATCCACTCATACAGGAACAGAAAACAGTGCTCAGGTCTCATCCAGACAATACACTTTAAATGTCTGATCTGCAATGTTGGTCCACTACATGGCCAGTGAGGTCTCTCAGAACAACTACATCTGCCTCTGGTTTAGCAGAAGGGTACTGCTAAAGCAGGTGGAGAGGAGCTCTGCACCATACAGCCAACAGTCTGATGCCAGAGCCCTTCTAATGGAGGACACCTGGTGTTGGAACATAACAAGCATGGCAAAGAACTGGACTGTCTCCCTACCTCCCACTCCTCATAGGTTTTCTAAGTGTTTCACTAATATTCAGCACATTAGTATGTTTAGTACAGGTATTATTTATGATCTAACACTCTCAAGTGTGGACTTCTCTGCACATGGACACAACAGATGGTTCAGGTATCTAAAATCATTAAAGATTACAAAATACAGAAGCTGTTGAATTAGTTGTACCCATGATAAGGTGTGTCCTGGGTTTGAGTGAGTGATGGGTTTTTTTGGTATCAGGGGAGGGGGGCTATGAGGGTGGCCCCCTGTGAGAAGCTTCTCAAAACCCCCCTAGCTCCAAGTCAGCTCTACCTCTGCACCAAAACTAAGCCAATCAGCTGTGTCTCTGCAATAACGTATTTAAGAAGGGACGTGGTGAGGAGGAGTTGGACTTGTGAGGAGGAGTTGCAGCAGCTGCGTGAACACCAAGGTCAGTGGAGGAATGGAAAAAGAAAGAGGGGCAGGTGTCCCAGAGCAGAGACATCCCTGTTTCCTGTGGTGAGACAGCAGGGCACCCCCCCCTGCCACCCATAAAGATCTACGATGGAGCAGACACTGATTTATGGCCTGTGTTTTTTGCCCAATGATCAAGGTGTCTGTGCCTGAAGAAGGCCGGGGTCTTGGAAAAGGTAGCTCTGTTGTTGTAGTTCAGCACTGGGAGGATTGCAGCATGCAGGGGTGTCCCACGCTGGAGCAGCTTGGGAAGGGCTGCAGCCCGTGAGAGGGACTCCAGTTGGAAAAAGTGGGTGACCCATGCTGGAGCAGTGTAAGGAAGCGCGGTGGCCTGTGGGAGGGACTCATGTCAGAGAAAGTTTGTGGAGGACTGTTTCCTGTGAGAAGGGGACCACAATGGAGCAGGGGAAACAAGTTCCAGAAGCTCCCCCCACTGAGGATGGAAGAAGCAGCAGCATTGACTGCACCCCCCATTCCCTGCCCCTGTGCTGCTGCGAGGAGGAGGTAGAGATATCGGGAGCAGAACTGAGCCCAGGAAGAAGGGAGGGGTGGGGGGAAGGTGTTCTCAAGATGTGGCAATGCTTCTCACTCTCCTGCTCTGTTAAGTGTTGTTGTTAGTGTCTGTAATAAATCTATTTTCTTTTTTCGTTCCCCTAACGAGTCTGCCTTTTGCCCGGGACCATAACGGGTGATCTGCCCCTCCTGGTCCTATCTCAAATCCCAAGCCTGGCTTATTTGTCCCTTCTCATCACTGGGAGAGAAGGGATGTGTGAGTGGCTGCGTGGTGCTCAGTTGCCCTCTGAGCTCAAACCATGACAAGGTGGCAGCTCATGGTTTGCAGTGTTGGCATTTTGGAGTTAAAGTGTCTGAATTCTGCATAAATCCTGTTGGAAGTGCTTGAGTCTTTTTTTGGAGCTAGTCTTTTTTTCTCTATGAATTTATGAATATTAAATAGATTCTCAGGTACATTATACAATACTTTGTATCTAGCATTAAGACCTAGTGACGTTTTCTGCATTACAAGCAGGAATATTTTCTGTATCTATTATTTCACACTGTAATTTACACTCTTTATAATTTACCTTATTTTTTTGAGATTCTGAATTGGATCTTAGTCTTTGAAGACAACAAAAGGTTCCCTGTTCCTGACTGATTGCTCATAAAGCAATACAACCTTGAGAAACCACACTGAAGACCTCACTGAGAAAGAGGATTACAACCTCCAGCAAGCTGGCTCAAAAGCTCACTATTCGGTAAAGAATCTGATTCTGCCAGGAAGAATAAGGGATGTACTGACAAGACCTAACAGATTCAGCTGCCTCATAGGAGGACTTAATCAGAGCACTATTTCTTGCATAGTGATTGGGTGTAGGTAAGAGTTGGCTGTTGCCTAGAAGCTCATGCAGCCAAGTACAGCAAGCATTTCATTTAAGAGGTGAAGAGGATCAAAATGGTATTTGGAGATGAACTACAGGCAAGACCCATTCCAAGTTTGAGAAGCAGCTTGTGCGTGGCTGTTCCTTATTGATGTACAATCTTTCCATGACTCTGTCAAAGGCAACCTTTTTATTAAGATGCATTTATTTTTTTCTGGAGGAAAACAAAATCGGCTGAATTATACCATGAATAATTCATGCCAAATATGTATTTCTAACTTACCTCTCCGATTAACAGGATCCTTAGCTACATATGCAACATAGTCAGTTGTATCCTGTCAAAAAATTAAGATATCTACAATGAATGCAATAAAACCTTTGCACAGAGCATAGCAAAAGATCACAGTAAAGGGTGTGCGTAATCCTGTGGGTAGAGCCTCAAATTACATGTTTTGTTCTCCAGATGTATACTACTTTAACCACATAAAACGTTTATGGATTTTGGTACTGATTCTACCACTTTGTTTCCTCCAAAGCGTGATCTACTCCAGCAGAACTTAAAAATCTGTTCCAAGGCCTCTGAAAGTCAATTAAACAAATTTAGTAGGATTTGGATCAGGCCTTACTTAGTAGGAAGTAGCATTACAAGTCCTCATCTTCAAACTACCCAGAGATTTTGTTTCAGAACACAAATAATCAACTGGTTCTGTGGCAGAAAGTGTAGGAGTAACAGCCCTGCTCCCCAGAAATACTGAGAAATGGCATTTATTCATGTGTGACAAAAAGATGTGTTGACTTTATGGACTACAATGCCATATGGCACAGAGGTGCTCTGCCATGGCTTGGCTGTGACAAGCACTATCGCAGGACGCTCTCCCCTAGGCCATGGACTGGCCCAGCTATCACTGTTGCCACATGCCAGGTGATTTTCTCATAAGAGCCAGAAAACAACTTCTTTGGGGATTTTTTGCTCACTCTCCTGACACCTGCATACTCCTGTGCACAAGCAGCGCAGACTTTTATCACTATGCAGAGAAAACAGAAAGGTCAGTGCTTCTGGGAAACATGAGGCCTGCTGGCACATCTGGAAAATGCCATATATCCTTGATGCGACTGGGAAGATCTGGTTAGATCCGTTATTTCCTGACATGCCTGGCTCGTCAAGTATAGCTAAATCTAACTGAGGTATACATAGGATACACTACAGCTGGCTGCATAAATCTACCCAAAGACTTTTCAGGTGACTGATTCAAGACCATTGACAATTATGTCAAGATCTAACGTCACAACAAACATCAATCTTCAGTTAAAAGATGGACTTTAGCTTATCTTTCTATAGTGCAAGCACACACCGCCACCACCCACCCAAACCAAATCACTGTGCTGCATGTCTCTACAACTTCCTTCCTAAGGAAAAGGCAAGGGAAATGATGAAGCACATTCATGGTTCTGGTAACAGATGTGTAGCCATATCACTTAATGCACTGTTGGAAGGCACTCAGACACAGCAGTAATGAGGCTGGTCTGTAAAAAAATCAGAGCAGAGAAGAATAGCCCTAGCATTTTGTCCAGTAATTTCTTAAGCACCCAATAACAAAGTGTCTGGGCAATGACTTGAATAGAAGTAATGATGTATATCAGCAAGTTAGGGGACAAGAAAAGTGGCTATATCTATAGCAGCAAATAAAACAGAGCCAAGGTAAAGGCTTGAGAGTTGTACCACAGTTGTCCATACTGTTTAATTGTTGCTATTCTCACTTGCCTGGCTGTGCTGCTTTCTTGTGCCATACTCTGAATCCATCTGAGGGACCAGCACATGCTGCTCAACAGTCCAAAGAGACCACTGGGAGGGAAGAGAGTAAATATGTGGATGGAAACTGCACTGAGCTATTTAGTTTAGAGGCCAGAAAACAGGCTACAGATCATTTTATTTACTAGTACATACATAGCTAATGAATACATTTATGCCTGAGTAAATCATAGATCTCTCCCATACCTAGCATGGGTGTGAGAGACCGGAACCACCTACTCTTTATTTCATCTAAAGGTCTCAGATTCAAGATGACTATAAGAAACCATTAAGGACCTAAGGTAAGCACTTTTCACAGTGGCTAAATTAGAAGATTCACATCAAAAGGCTATAAAAGGGCTGGGATGATGCAGCAAAGTGGTCACTGACATTCAAGTGCTGAAGACAAGTATGAATGAGCTATAATTTTCACCTCAAATAAATTGCATTGTGGTGTTAAAATTTGGAGGCAGGGCTGAAACTGAAAAACTACTGCCTTCAGGGACCTCTGAGAGACCTGCTTTATTAGACCTTATGAGATCTGCCTCTGAAATTTCAGCAGGCTTCTCCACAAACAGATGTCTTGTCTAGCAGCCTGGCAACAGCCACCTGTAACAACTATGGATGAAAATTATTTAGTGTATCATAAGGAAAGGCTGAAGAGAGCCAAAGAAAATCCAGAACAGTCTTGGAAGTGAACTAAAAATTATTCCAAAAGGGTGTGTAAAAGGATTTGTTGGAGAGATTTTTAAGCTCCCATGTACCAATACAGCTAGAAACTGTCTGACTCACTGCAAAGGGGAATATTGCAAAAATATATATATGGTACTCAAGCTGTTCTCCAAGACTGTGGAACACTTCTCCAGTGGATATATTTTGAATGAAGGTAATTAACAGTTAGGGAGTGGGAGGAGAGTTGCAAAGCTAATGGCTGACCTGAATGTGTGACAGATATCCAGAGCAGAAAAGTGGATGGGGTGAGAAGTGGGGGTAGTCTCACTTCTAAAGAAACCAAACTTCAAAATTCAAAATCAGGGAAGTATTTCCTGAAGAAACATGGGCACAGATCTGGGTTCCTAGCTCAGCATGGCCTTTCTCCATCTATTTTAAGTCTCATATGAGAAAATGAGCTTATGGGCTGGTGCCCAACTGTGTTTGGGGGATACAATTTGGTGGTGGCAGTCCTGCATCAAGTGGAAATCATTAAGGGCTGATGGAAGTTATGTCTGGAGAGCCCTCAGATGGGTTAATAAACCTGTGACTTAAACCACATTCTTGCATCTTGTCTTCTGTGTGCACACAGGACAAAGGAACCACCTGCTTTATGAACAAGCTCGATTTAACGTTGTGCCAGATACTAGCCCACTGAGACAAGTCTGTAGAACATCACTAGATACTCATACCTACCTTTTCCACCCCCAGAATGAGATCACCACGCACTGGTCTTATTGAGAATGCAACTTTACAGTTTCACTGTCTCTTGTATGTTCCCTTACACCATGTAATTTTATTTCTCTGGTAGCTCACTGACTCAGTAGCATGATTTTTATCTCTCTAAAACATTTGAAAGAGGTTGTTTACTCAAAATCCAATCTCTACTGCTGCTCTTCTCCTCTTCCCTGGTAAATCACTCTATCAGTGGGCAGTGTGCAATGGTGTTTCCAGGACTTAGCATTTGGGATGGCAGATGGGGAGCGAAGAATCTTCTTATGGAGGCAGGGAACTGTGCTAATCACTCCTCTGCCCACTTCAGGAATTGTTCATTTACAGCATCCATTGCAATCTGTTGTATTTCAAAGCTGCTGTTGAACCATTTTTTGTTCCCCAAATTATTATGACATGGTTTCCTTTTGCCTTCTGGAACCGAACTGAGCTCAGCAGAGCTATACTAAGTCTGAAGTTTGCCCTTAAGTTTTCTGGGGATAGTGAAATGAACAGAGAAAGTGCCAAGGATCTTCAACTTAACAAAGCTGAACTGAGAAAATTAACTCACAAAGTAGGCTAGAAATGGCCTTACCTGTAGTACATGACTGATAAATGACAGATAATCATATGATGGAGGAAAAGGGAGGCTCATTCAAGTAATCTAGGTTTAAAAGCTTTCAAACCTCCAAGTAAGAGTTGAGCAATGTCCCTGTTTTATAAGTTTCCCACTGCTTCCTGGGTGACAAATACTTTTTAAGCACATTTAAAATTGCCTTTGGATGGTCTGCTTATGAAAACAGGGAAAAGCATAGCAAGCAGGAGTCTGCCCTTTGATCTAAATGAACGAAGTGTGTAGGTGTATCTGAAAGCTTCGCAAAACTAGGAGGAAAGATCTGGGCTTTTCCTGAAATCCTGTCTTCAAGCTGCATGAGTGTAGCAAATACACCTGAAGGCAGTATTTAGCACAGTCATCTCAATGCACACATAAAGATGAGAAGAAAAAAAAAAAAACAACTAAATACATGCATTGCTATAAATATAACTGTAACACAGTCTATTACTGTAAAAAGTACAAAATAAAAAAGTCAGGATAAAAATTCACACGATACCCATATGTCTATACTACATTACTCTGAAAAACAGAGCCCTGTTTATCAGTTATTATATGAATGCTCACAGCCCTTTGATACATTTTGTTTCAGTCATTCAAAGAGCAGGATTTACGACTGCTTGTCAGTCTTTTCCCTCAAAAAGAGTTTGATGGCAACAATCAAGAAGAATTTATGAAACAAGAAACAGGAGTTATTGTGGTTATATTTTTCTTTCAGTAAGCTATGCAATAAATTTTGTCACACAGTCCTCATAAAGCAATATCTATGGGGGAGGAAACTTTAAAGAAATGCTTACCGGATCACCTCCAGATGCAAAGGAAATAGATTGCATATGATGATTTGCTATGATCTGTATGGATCAGAAAGAGTGAGTCAGCAGGTTTTCTTACTGTTTACCCTTTAATTTCTTTTTTGGTTTGTATGGGGGTCAAAATCCAAGATCAAAATGGCCTCTGCATTTCAACTATAAGGAGTGTAAAGAGTATCGTAATAATACAAACAAACTTAAAGGCGAATGTATCTATTCTGGTGTTCTTCAAAACATAGTAGGGCATGGCGAAATTGCTAAACGTGCTCAGAACCCCAGTAAATCATATAGATCTGTCATATAGTATCTTTGAAGAAATTTTAATTTGATAAAGCTCAGTTTATTACAGATAGTGATGAATGGACCAAAGGGTCCTATTTATCAAAATACTTTTCTACTGATGCCACTCTGGATCCTAACATTGCTTCCTATACCTACTGTGTCATTTTATGTTTCAAACACCAACACGTTGGCAATATACAAACAGAATTCTGAATCTAGGGGCAATGTAGCATTGTGGACAAAATCTCAGGCATACTCCAGGGCATTTGAAATTCAATTTGCTTATGTACAGTTTAAACTAATATGATATTTCTCTGGAAAGAGACAAATTGTCATGAACTTCTCATACAAGGAGAACAGTTCTGCTCCACTGCTATTCTGAGATTTAACTTATGAAATCTTTTACTAATGAAATCATGTAACAACCAAGAAAGAAAAGGTCATTTGAAAGAAAATTTCACTAGATCAGTTGAGTCACTGAAACCATGTCAAGGAATTCAGCTGGTATAGGACAGGCCCCCCTATTTAGTGTCTCAGAGCATGTGATAACAGACATTTGGATCTTAATTTCTCACTTTGGAATGCGTACCACATACTTTTACTTTAGAAAATAGTTTGGTTTTTTTTTTTTTTTTTAAAAAAAAAAAAAAAGACTTTAAAAAGATATTCTCTGGGCTGTTTTCCCCATCCTGCATCTTAAAGACCTGAACTTGTAACTATCTTCCTTGGAAAGAAAAAAGTCTGACGTGAGTTTCTCTGGATCTTGTGCTTCACTAAGTCTGAGAGAGTTGACAACTATTTGTAGTGCTTCTTTATGTAAAGAGTGCTTCATTTTCAATAATCCTGCTTGTCCTACAGCAGCCTATGAAGATGTGGTTAATTTTTTAGTGTTCAGTAGTGAACCATTGTTCCCTTACTCATCAGCGAGGAATTCCTTCTCTTTTTCTCTTAGAGAAGTGATCCTAATACAGATGAATTAATTAAAATTTGTTACACATTTAATATTGTCACTATCTGGAATAGTGCAAAAAAGCTGATCTTTTAATTCAGCATCATAAAATATATATATTTATATTTCAGACTGCCTCAAAACTTATTTTTCCAAATTTTAAGAAAACTGGAAAGTGCTTGAAATCATCAGTCCAAGTCAGACACTTTTAATTCCACAGCTAAACAGTTTAGTTTACTTTGAGGTAAGGGTATCGCTTCCCACCCCCCCCCCAGAATGCCAACATATTGAAACAAGGCATAGCAAATTACCACTGCCTTTCATTGCTTAAAATGAAATGATTCACTGATGTTGGCACATCGTTTAGAAACATTTCAGTCTACTCAAATCTGCCTTTTAAACAAATAAGCAAAACGAAACAAAATCAGGTTTCACTCATCACTGCTTAACATGTTCACAAAACTGTTAGGCAGGGATACATGCAACTGCTTTCCTGCTACCCCAAGGGCCAACAACACTCTTTTTTCTTCCAGCCTCTCTGGGAAAAAGAGGCTATAACAGAAGCTCACAATCATCTTCCTGGGTGGAGCCTCAAAGGGCAAAGCCACTGGGCCATGCTTATTTTCAAATCGAATGCTTGGCACAAACAAGAGAGACCATAGCCAGATTGGGGATCTCTGAGAAACCAGACATTTCTCAGGCCTACAGTACCCAGACCAAGTTTATCTCAAAAAGAATGATGTGAGAGAAAGATAAACAGTTTTGTGAACTCAGGGAAGAGTCAAAACATTTGCGGGAGGATTCTTCCCTGAGATAAATCAGTTTAACTCTGTTGCTACCCTGACATCAGCTGAAGACAAGGCGACTTTCAGGGTTTGGCACATTTCTAGTAGATTTAATTAACATCAAGTTCATGTGCTTCTAACTGGGGGCAACTGTCCTTATGAAAGGCACTGCTGTGTATATTCCATAATAAGGCTCCAAACTACTGCAACCAGCCATAATGCTGCTCCCACAGTCTCAGTGCTCACTGCAGAAGATTATGATGTTTTCTAAATAAGGATAAGAATGAAGATAAATCAATGAAAACATAATAATAAACAGAAAGATTTTTAATTGAGTATGTATTCTTTCTTATTCTTTAATCCCGAGTCTCCTAAGAGCAGCAATTTTTTTTTTTTTTTTCTCTAGCAGTATCTGGGCAGAAAGTTGCGTGCCCTAACGCAGTATGTGGCTCACAGCAAATAGCACAGCAGTGACTACACGTCTGTCTGCTTTCTCTTTATATATAACCTGAGCAAGGATTTTTCTCATCTCATACATCATTCACAATTCACTGCAGTCATTCCCCTAAGTCTATCTGTACCTTCAGCACAATGAAGAGGAAGAAATGGGCTGCTTGAAAAAGGCAGCCTCGTGTCTCTAAAAGACTGGCATTTCACTGTAATGCAAAATCCCTGAGGCTGTATTTTTAGCAGTGCCTCGGGAATAGATTGCCCTTTAAGGCTCTAAATGGGAAGAACTACAACAAAATTCCGGATGCGCATTCAGTCCTTTAGTCTCTCACTCCAAATGCACCCCTTTTAACACTCTGGAAGTTCGTAAATATACCCAACAAGAACTCCCACAACCAGAAAACGCCATTTCATGTTGTAGGTCTTTTAAGAACAAAACTGAGCTACCTGAAACATGGCAAGAAGAAAATAATTCATCAAAGCTGTGCTGAATACTGGAATAAACTATGAATCCTCCTACGCTTTATATCCTGTTTTCTTTCATTTTATATTATTGAGGAATAATAACTTTAAGCAACTGAGTATTTTGGCAGAGAGCAAATAATTGAGCAGTAGGCTGTTCATCAAAAGCCTCACAGATTAATATGGCAGTTACACTCACCTGTTTTGTATCAGGAGTCATTAGGTTTAAGCTGGTAGTAGAGATATTCAGCATTATGCTCATTCCGGCAAACTGAAGATTGCTCTTTCCCAGGATGCTAGAAAGAACTTTGCTTGGTGGCTGTGAGAAGGGGTAAAAAAAGCACATTTTTGTTCTCTGTTTATTTGGGATGAACTTTATTGTATGCAGGGTTATCTGTAGTCGTAAAAATTCCTGAAAAGTTGCCTACTTTTCAAAGATCATTTCATTGCAACAGCTGTTCTCCTCTGGAGATAATTTCTCATTTATACTGCTACTACTAATGATAATAATAGCTAGGCACATATTCATCCCCTCTTGACCTAAGAAAATAGGGGTTCTGTGAGATAGCAGTTTCATCTTCAACAAGAGACCAAGTGAGCAGATTAAGATGAATGCCTTAAATCAGTATCTTAGTGGCATGTTCTTGTTCTGTAAAAACAGCTTCAACTCCCGAAAACAAATCTGTTGTTTGCTCTGTGTCTACTGACTGCTCTATCACCTTCCCACATGGAAATTGGGACTCCAGTGATACTGATGGGATGCTCACAAAAAGGAATACACAGTGTCATTATGCTTTTAGACTTCTTACCAGCATGTAAAAGTCCAGCCACAGGCTAAAACCTTTAGCTGGGATACAACACACAGCTAAAGATGACTCCTAACTCAAGAGAATAAGAACAGAGTGTTGGAAAGTAATAAAGGGGATGTAATAATATTGACAACTTTTTTAGGCCTTTTACTAGATCTTGGGAGGTTCTGTAGCAATATAAATTATGCTGTGAAAACAAAATTTATAACTTCCCAACTTTGACAGCTAAGGGGAACCACACAGTGGTATGAGAGCAGCCTCATCCAGGTAACCACAGTCTATACAAAATCAGGCTGCCCAGCAATAACAGACCAAGTCCTTCAACTTGCTGTACTTGCACTGGTGAATATTTATGCTAGGCATTAGGATATCAAAGCAAAGCTATGACTGGAGGCAGTGTTCTTTTGCAATTGTATTTGCATTTGTCCTAAGTTCCCTGCCAGTTTGGAAAGTTTTGTCCATTGCAGGATGGACACACTTATACTTCTTTACTCCTCAAAGCTTCTATATATTCAGTTTTAGCTTCTTTTCTTCCTGTTTAATTAAAACTATGCTACATACATACTGCTCGTATGTAATACTTGTTCTGCTCTATTTTAATTTTGTCATGTTACAGAGCTAGTAGTTCATCAACTTTGCTTTAAAACAAGCCCTTTTGAATATTCTTGTTTTTCTTCTTTCCTTAAACCTTCATGATTCCCAGCTCATGCCTAAGGATCGCCTGTCCACAGGGTGGGTAAAGGGTGAAAACTTGGCCTCAAGAAATACATGTCACCTTAACCAAATTCATAACCCACTAGTGGCAAAAACATAATGAAAGTACAGACTGGCCAAAGATATCTGTCTTTAACATTTATCTGAAATTCTGTTGTTTGGCAAATTTTCTTCTCAGCCAGTACACTTACATTATAAACACTATTTATTTTCAATAACGGGTAAGCAACATTGATTCTAAACACAGTAATACAGCAAGGTGTCTCATGAGGCACTTGAGACTGTTTAACTTACTTTTCCAATGATATTTTGCATCATTTTGCTTTCCAAGGAGAAAGATATTTTTCCTCTCTCAGATTTAAGAAAAAAAAAAAAAATCAGAGATCCTAGAAATGCCAACGAGATAAATTTGAGGGGGGGGGAAACCCACAACCTTAATTTCTGAGACAATTTCCAATTATGCTCTAACGTATGTTGTCACATATGCCTTACTTTACCAGGGGAAGATTCTCCATTCCAAACAAGCGGCATTTCATCCCATCCCTTTCTGCTGGGATTCTGCCTAGATGGTGGAGCAGCTAGGGAAGCAGGCAGACCTCTTCCTTCACCTGCCTGTTTTCCTGTGCCCAACAACATACATGTGGGCTATAATTAACTGTTTTCTATGCTCCTTCCCTTAGAGTTAGCATTAAATGCCAGCTTTCCTAGCAGGCCCTTGGAAGAACAGGCAGTGAAGGAGCTGAGCTGAGGCTTCCTCCACTCCTTGCCTGCAGATCCTAACTCCTACCACACAAATAAGAATAAAAACATGGTAGTAACAGTGTCAGGCCAATGTGCATTAAACTCGCTATCTGTGCTGGACACTGCGCATCGGCCACAGGTATTTTATGAAAAGATCATAGGGAACAGAGGATGGCTTAGGATGTTCTCTCCATTTCCAGAAATCGGTGGTTTCCAAACTCATTAATTGTCACCAGAAGAACTATGCTCCAAGAACAGATCTAATCACTTCAAAACTATGTATGTGTTTGGCCTCTGCAACAGCTTCCAGCATCTATTTCCACAATTTACTCATGCATTTTATGAAATTCATCCTTCTGTTTAAGCATTCTGTCTGCAATCTACAAAAGAAAGGAGGTGGTTTCTATAGTAGGAATATAAAGGCAAGCCACCATCTTCTTCCTAGATGTACTCATACTTCTAGATGCCTTTAAAAGCAGACACTGACCAAAAGGGCAAGAGGCAGCATACAGTGGGTGAAAACAGCCAATACTTTAAATGATTAATGGTTTGCAATTCTCAAAGCTGCTTTAAAGTCACCTGCCTGCTGTGCCTGGTCTCCTCTGTGTTGAGCTAGGAAAATACAGTCAACTGCACTATAAGAAAAGAAAAATACCTTTCGTTTCTTGAAGGCTCCTTTGGTACCAGGCATGGCTTCACAAACACGACTGATTGCTTCCCTGGAGAGACAGAAAAAAGCTTTATAGCAAATGAATATGTGGGTTTCTTCATTATACTTGAAACGCACTGGGAGAGATCAGCTTCAGACCTATTTCTTTTCACAAGTGAGGATAGTTAGCAGATCAGTTAGCTCTCTTCTCAAGGCTAAAACAGGTGCCATTTGAATTTAGATAATCTCAGTGTGATAGTAAATGTGAAGATAGTAAATAGTCAATGTTAGCATAAGGAAGAGTATCTTGAGATCTACAAAAGATAAAAATGTTTTCTCAAGCTATTAGAAAGACCTTTTCTCACCATAAATTAGAGTATTTGTCTTAATACCTTCTTGCAAGTCTGATTTTTGTACCTTATTAAGCCATGAGGAATCTGATCATAAAACATGTCTTTAATCAATATTGCTTTACACCTTTTTTTAAACCTTTCTTGTAATGTAAGGGGTAGTAACTATCATTTTTCTCACTACTATACTATGCACTTTTTCAGTCAAAGCAAAACCACATGGCTTTAGATAATACCAGAACCCTAAAATATCCCTGATAATATGCATGTTGTATACAATACATCTGCTGTGCAAAATTTTAATTGATATTTTTTCAATATGATCTGAGTAACTTATTTAGTCCTATTTTCATATATTTTAGGCAAAATTAATGCCATCGCACTCACATTAAGTGAAAGAAATGCATGTTGAAAAAATCTGGACTCATGCTGTCCTATAGAAGAGCAACTGTATACTACAAAAACTCTTGAAGTCATACTGCTACAAACAAATCTCATAGGTCCTTTCAGTATTTAACAACTTATTATCTGAATAGTCAATCTGGTCAGTATTTAGAATTTGCTCCCGTGCATGCAGAGACCTTCCTGTGACCATTAGCTACAAAGCTGTAATAGACCTGTCCCATTGATAAGACAGAATGGTTGCACAGAGACAAGTAAAGGTGACTCCAAACCTTGTTTAACTGTTTCAAATATAAATTGAAACTAACAGCACATTACATTTAGACCTAAAACCATGCGAATAACATGTAATTTTGGAAAAAAAAAAAACCAAACCAAACCAAAACAAAACCAAACAACAGAATGGGAGATAATGGACTACATGATAAAAAAGTCAATCAAAACCTGGAAACATCACCTGGATAAAAACATTATTTTAATTTTATGCCATGTGCAGGATGGTATTTTAACTACATATTAGGTGAATAGACAGCATCAACAAGTGAGTCAGGAGAAAAATGTCATATATGTATCAGCATTCAAAATATAATGGCTCAGCAAATGTCACAGGTTTATCCAGTCCCTATATGGTTATGCCTTGGGTGCTTTTACATAAAGCCCAATCCAAAGTTTAAATCACCGGAAAGAATCACATACATTTATTATTTTGGAAGGCTGTGTGATTGTGGCATTGGAACAGGTCTTACAGCAGGTTTAAACTTCTATCATTCTGAAGAAGTGTGAGATTTATAGCAAAAGATACTCAAAAAAGCTTTCAGGCACACAATTCTTTCTTCAGGTCTAGAGGAGAGCTTGTTTGTTCCACAGCTTGTCTTTTTTTCTCTTTTTTTTTTTTTTTTTTTTTTTCTGTTTCCCCCCAACTACATCTGCTCATCTAATAAAATTGCTTTTGACTAGAAACCTTGCCTTGCATATGCCCTCAGACCATCAACAGCTACATCAGCACTCCATTTCACAGTTCGGCGCTTGCATTTAGTTCCCACATTTACCACGATACTTTGACTCCAAACAAGTGTTTTAGTTATAGTAGCTACTAACTTTTCTTACAGAGAAAGTAAAAATCAGTAAGCTTAAAAGAACAGCCCTGGTGCATCTTAGAAATACAGCACAGCAAGCATCACACACAGTGATCATCATGATACTGAGACATAGGTTATTCCTGAAAAAGTAATCAGGAAAATTAAGCATTATTCTTCTCCACCAACAATACTTTTCTTTGAATCAGGAAAAGCAAACAGACATCATGTTATACAGAGCCATCCCCTCAGCCTTGCTACTGAGCTAAAACTTGTGGTTTCCCATCTCTTTCTTGCACTGAATCAAATCCTTTGGAGGCAATGGGGTGGGAAGTCCAGGCCTGTGGCAGCCCCCAGCCCACTGCTGTCTCTCAGACCCATGCATCTTGCTTCTCCAGATGTGTCTGAGCTTTCCAGGCATTTTGGCTGCAAGTTGCTGACACAGGTGTCACCAGTACTTCACCTTCTTTGTCTCCTCCAGTGGTCCAGTTGGCGCATTGAAATCCCTCACAGGATTTGCCTCTCACAAAAAGGATTTGTGTTTCAGAGATATAAACTCTGCTTGAGGGATAAATTTGACTGCAACTTCCTTTCTCTTCCTATGTGCCTCCACTATCTTCTCTCTGTAGCAGCAATGTGGAGCAGGTAGGAAGAAAAAGGAATTTTCAGGCCACCGCACCTGACAAAAACTGTTTACAAGCTTGTTATTTTTCTGGTGCAGGGCTGGAATCTGTAGTGGTTTTGATACTACCTCTTCTGCCTGCCAGCTCCTGATAATCAGACATAAAGTGTGTTACTCAATAGACCCATCTGACTCAAGGACCTTGTTGATCAAAACTGCTACTTGAGTGTAGGAGAGGAAATGCACCGGCTGAAAAGGCTGAAGCCCAGGGCTGAGGGTTGACAGGGCAGCCTTGGTTACTGTGTGTACGCCCTGCCCTGGCAGAGCTGGGAAAGCAGTAAGCAGCTGAAGAGCTGGGATATACATCCTCTCACTCAGTAACGTAGCGCTATAGATTTTCCAACTATCTTCCTTTCCAACTGTCCTTCTTTCAGTAAAACATCTCAGTTTTTCCAAACTCAGTGGTCTTAAAGTCTGAAAGAAGACTGGAAGTCAGGGGAAGGACCTGAGGAATGTGTCAGCTTATTGAGGTACACGTCAGATGAGGCAGGACGTCTGAACTTCAATTTGACAATTCTTTTAACATATTTTTTTGAAACTCTGTGAATACTAAATGTACTCAAGCAACTGCAGGGTTTAAGTTAATAATGCTTTTGGTGAAAATGCTGGGAACTTCAAAAAATATATTCATACAACAATTATGCCTAGGCAAGGTTGGAGCAGCCTGGCAGCAACTGTGTACCTTCAACAAAAAGCACAGTACTTTTCCCACCTCTGAGTTAATGAGTCTTAAAGAAGTATCTGATGAAAACAAGACAAAAAAGGACAGCTGAATATCTGCCACCACACAGATACATACTTTTTCCAGGGGAAGGTTCCTGGATCTCTCTGCTCAGAATATTCCAGATCCTTTGTGTGTGTGTGGAAGGGGTGGTGGGGGATGGTAGCTTTACACAGATAGCCTGGTGATGCGGAAAGGACATCCTGAAGACTTCTTTCTAGCTTCCATTGTCAGACAGCACAGGGCAGACATAAGCTTTTTTTTTGCATCAAATCAAATTTGCAAATGTTTCTGCAGTACAAACACCTGAGCCACAAATCAAGCCCAGAAATAAATATTGCTGCTAGGTTGAAAGTGACGTTACCTGATTTGTGCATTTTCTTGTCTAAGGAAGGCAAAAGCAGAAGTTCTGGATATATCTGCATGGCTAAATAGTGGCACAGTTTGGAAAAGCTGGATGTGACTACATTTGCTTCCTTTCGAGTAAGAAAGTTATTTGACATAGACACACATTACACCTTTCTAAGCCACATGCTGTTTCATTAGCTAGTCTCAGATAAGTACCAGTAGAGTTATCCTGATCTCTTGTAAAATTAGCTACTGCGCTGTCTGCAGTAGGGACCACATGCTGAGTTCCAAATCTGTCCAAGAGTATTTTCTGCTTTGCAGATGGTCATACTGTAGAGTCATTTTCTTGGCACAGAATGTGTTGTGTATTTTGAATATAATTTCAGCATGCAAATGTATCCAGTGAAAAATTTCAGATATGCATTTTCTGAGTCCTATTCTGCTTTAAAGTGAGTTGACATCTCTCTGAGACAGAAAAAAAAGACATTTTACATTGCCATTTTGTTCCATTAAAAAGGCTAATGCCCTGATATTTTTCATAACTTTAGTCATATTTTACTCTGACTGTTATATAAAGTAGCCCACTCAGGAAGCTCAAATCTGTTCCTCTATGATACACCATCACATGAAAATACGTTCCCTTCTTGTGGTTTCAGAGATTTTTTGGCTGTCATGCTAGGTTTCGTTGTTACTGTTTTTAATTAATACAATTTAATTGATTAAAAAACAGAATTCTGGAACTCATATTTCAGGGAAATGACAGGCACATACAAATTGCACAGATTTTCTCAACATATTTGGAAAAAGTATAGCCATCTCAAATATTGAGACAAGAAACTGTGACTATTTTTTTAGTTTGAAATGTTTTGCATGGCAAGACCTAAAACCTACCAATGTTCTCTTGTTAATATCTTCTAGTATCCTATAGTTCCTAAGCTTATCTTTGCCACCTCCAAAGCATAGGGCTTCACAGGTTAAAAAAACAGACATCAGAAGGTGGAGTTTTTAAATGAAAGCATGACATATCTAGAAGAACTGTACAGAAGGCTCCCAGTCGTTTCTTAACAGTACTATATTCCTGCCAATTTTTTTTAATAATTTATAAATCACTACCAAGTGTTGTACCACTAGTCGCTGAGGAGAAACAAAGTCTATACTAAATATAAAAATAACGTGCTTCTGGAAAGAAAAAAACTGAGATCAAAAATGAATTTTTAGAAATCTGTTTAATAATTGAAATATTTGTTCATCTGCAAAACAAGCAAAATGAGCATGTGCTGTCTGAAGCAGCACAGGGGACATTCACAAGCTCTAAACACTAAACCAGTATACTACTGTTTACAGAACTTTGAACACCAACTGGTAAATTGACCATTTCCATGTCTGGAATATGTAGGGCTGGAGAAGTATCTCATGAAAACAGAACAGAGGGTATGGATAGGAAGGGGAGGCTAACCGTGTGGTGTCGATGCACGTACTGCCACGAATTCA